TACAACTAAAACAAAATATTAAATTTTTTTTTTTTTTTTTTTTACTACTCAATGTGGTCCATGGACAGTAGTGTGGGACCAATAACATTGATACACCTGAGAGCTTGTTATAAATATGAGCTTTAAGGATTCACCTCCGTCTTACTGAATCCAAATCTACTTTATAAGGTCTCCAGATCATCCATATATATATAATTACATTAAAGTTTGAGAAGCTGGGTATAAAGCCTAGAACAATCCTTACATAAGTACTTGCTACCTCTTTAGAAACCTAGATGAGAAAAGTTTAAAAAAAAAATTACTAGAGTGGAAGAATTAGATTAAAAATCAGATCTAAAAATCTAATCTGAGCCATGTGCAGTGACATAAGCCTGTAGTCCCTGGTACTTAAAAGACTGAGGCAGGAAGATCATTAATTGAGGCTGACCTGAGCAACATAGGGAGACTCTCTTTAAAAAAAAAAAATAAAAATATAATCTTAGTGCTGTCAGTAACTTAGCTATCAACTCTTGGTCAAACCATCAATAAAATTACTTTAGTTTCTTCTGTCCTAAAGTCCTGTGCCACCTCATGATGGTCATGAAACTAAACGAGATTCAATATATAAAATAATTTTCATATTGTGCTTTCAGGATTTTAATATAAATTGAGTGAATTGAGGAAGCATTGTTGGATTGGTACCTTCATTAACATTGGAGTTGGGAATAGCTGCTTTCTAAGAATAATAAGTGCTCATTTAATTTGTTTTTGCAGCAGAAACTCACTTCTACCTATTGTAGAAGTGCTAAGCAAGGAGGAATGATCCTAAATGTGTTTGATTTAGTTATAAAGGTTTTGATTTTTTCAAGTGAGAGGATGTAATTTTTTAAGAAATTTTAATTTTTTTAACAACTTTCTTCAGATACAAAGATGAAAGTGATTATGCCTTACGTTACATGGAGAGTAGTTGGAAAGAGCAGCAGAAGGAAGAAGCAAAGAGGTAAGCATAAAACTTTACACATTTGTGCAAAAATATCCTAAAACTTTTCCACACCTTTTAAAATGTTTTCTCATTTGTAAAATTTGAATACACTATTTTACTCATTGAGGTATTATGAAGATTAAGACAATGCGTATAAGGTGCTTACCATGCCTCACATGTGTAACATACAGTAAATATTAGAGGCCTCGAATATTGTGAGGGAAATGCTGTGCTTTTCTTCCTCCATTAGATTCATTCTCGCTAACTTCTAACTTTGTTGGCTTTGAGGACCCAGTAGCAGTAAATTAGATTCCCTCTACCTGGTTCCTGTTTGGCTACCAAATAGTAAACTAATGATAATTTTTCAGTAGGGGTAACTTGTGATTACTTTGCTTATAGTGTTAATTAATAATTATTATTATTACCTATTATTAGTAAATAATTCATTTCAGTCTCAACCCACAAAACTAAAACTCTTTCCCCCTTCTGTAACTAGATAAAATGTCAAAGTGTTCTTTTGAATGTTGTTATTGAGTAAATCATCTTTGTTCTTTATTTTTAAAAAGCTTTTGAAATAAATTTATATTTTATTACTTTGATAGAAATATTAAGGCGTTTTGTTGTTGTAAGATTTTTTTCTTCTACAATTTGGGTTTGTTAAAAAAAAAAATAAAATCTTGAGGCTTTTTGAGAACATCAGCAGGGTTCATGTGAGCTTCCAGGTGAAACTGCAGTTTTTGATTTTTAAAGTGGTAATCTCATGTATATTGACAAATACCATTTAAATTGTTTTTCAACAGTTTAAGACTAGGTATGCAAGAGGACTTAGAGGAAATGAGACGTGAAGAAGAAGAAATGAAACGTCGAAAAGCCAAGAAGCTGAAGAGACGTTAGCTGCTCTTTATTTTTGAAAAATTCTGGAAACACTGCTGCAAGGAGTTTCTGCCTTCAGACTGAATAAGCCCCCTTCATTTTAGATTTATACTTGGGTACTCAAGAGAAGGAATGCATACTGTTACTTACAGGCTGTCAACTGAGCATAAAGTATTTTCAAATACTCCAGGGTGAAATCTGTAATGCCCACAGTGTGCTCTTATGAAGTTAACTGTTCACAGATGCCAGCCTTGATCCTGATGAGCTATGCACTCTAATGTGGGGCCACTGACAAGTCAACCAATCTTCTGTTGTTCCTTTGCTACTTTAAAAGGAAAGAAAGGATTGCCTCTTGACTCCTTATAATTCTGCTGATGTGAGTAGGGCACTTGCCTGCCCAACTCCAAATCAAACTTATTGTCTTTATGAGGAACCTGGCCCTTCCATGAATGTTTCCAGCAATAAAGTGACCTGTCCTAATCTATATGTTTGGATTGAGAACTCAAAAATGTAGAGTAAATTTTATAATTATCACATGGATGTCATCCTTGTGACTTTAAAGTACAAAGTAGAAGGAATTATATTGTATTCTGCATTATACATGGATTGCATTACTGAACATTCTTATTAATTTAGGTGGTTAGGCAAATAAAAGTTTTCCAGTTAAAAATACAAGTTAGGCCAATATAAGAATGTTCTTTTCTGAGTTTTCCTTTCAGATTTATTGGGTTATTTTTTGTGGTTTTTTTTTTTTAGATTTATTATGTTGGCTTTAGCGTAAAACAGACAAGGTCACTGTGCTGATTTATTTTTTTCTAAAGAAGTTCATTTTTATATTGAAGAAAAAAATTATTTTATTCAAATGTTGGATTTGAGAGAGTGTTTAAAAACAAGAAAGTGACATGAGCGGCTCCCCCAGTACAAAGATATTTTGGAATCCCAAGGTCCCCCTGTACCTCTTGATGTTAATGACTGCATTTTTAGCTTAAATTCCTTAGAAAATATCAATGACAAAAAACCAAAAACTAAATTTGTTGTGTATTAAAGAGCATCACCTTCTCTTTTTTGCCCATATTGCACTTTTCTTTCAAACTATGCACTGTGAAGAGATTCCGACTCCCCAACCCCCTAACCCCCAGGTAGAAAAGGGTGTTTCCTGTTATTGGTATTTTATTGGGCTGTGGAACTTTCTTCATTTTCACTCTTAAAGTCATATCTATAGACATTATATCACTTAAGCCTCAAGTCCAAACAGTTCCAGTCAGGCTGACCTGAGATCTGTCTGGAAGGAAGCCAAGTCTCAAGGACAGTTAGCAACAGAAAATGAGACAGGATATCACAGAGCATTTGTCCTTAACTCCAAATATGGAGGTTTGGAGGCAGTCAGAAATAAGCTTGTAGGACAATACTTCAATAATTGTTCTGGCTTAAGCCACTGGACAGTGGGGGAAAGGAAGTAGAAGGGGAATTGTCCTACAAAGAATCCTTACTCACTCTTCAGCAGACACAGACATTTTCATATATTCCTTTTTACCCATGAAGTCTTTATTCTTCGAGTTTGGGTATTATAGTATTACAGAGTACCATTGTTAGCTTTCATTAATGGGACCATATGACCAAGTCCTTTAAAACTTATTTTGAATTGAGTTTCAAACTTTGAAAGTGCAAGGATTCAATTTTAAAGTTGGAATCCCATGAAATGTGTTTTCTTCATTAGGAGTAACACCATAACTTTTCACATAGATGTTACACTAGTAGTAGAAAATCCTATTGACTTCCTCTCACCCATCTCAAACACCTTCAGTGAAATTGATTTAAGGGTAGTGGGATATTCTGTTTAATAGGTTTAGAACATTTTCTCTACCATAGGCCCTCCCTCAAAAAATTTTTTTTCTTGGATTTTTTTTCAATATTCAGACTCTGAAATTTGTAATTACAATCAAGTACTTATAGCTGAAAGATTTCTGGTGGCTTAAAATTTACTAGCACTGAATGAATGGTGCACTTATTACTGAAAGAAACCATTGTGCTAGATTAGTAGGAAGAGTCAGGTTGTAAATCTATCACTTTTGAGCGAGAAGTATTCTTTCATAATAAGATGCTGACTTGCATCAACATTATAAAAGAATACTTCTGGCTCATTAAAAAAAAGAAAGTTGTAAATTAATGTTGGCCTTGTTTTCAAGTCCTGTCTTCCATTTTGTTGTTCTACACTTCCTGACCACTCTTACAAAAAGCTTACAAGCCTCTGAAGAAACTGGAATGGGCTGTTATTTTCTCAAGGTTTACAAATTAAGTGATTGATTTTTAATGTATTCTCTACAATTTTGATTTTTAGATTTTCTTAATATTTGAAGATGTGCCTTTTATTGGGTAATGTTAATTCACGAATGTAATAATGTTATTTCACAATTATAATAATGTTACATGATCATGGGTGTGGCATTCTCTAACACAAAAGATGTGAAAAGAAAGTAGTTTTCATAAAACTCATGGCTCTGATTGCACAGTCCATTTTGCTTGTGATGTTTCTATGTCAAAGCAAAGGGCACTTTCTTTTAAGGCTACTTTCAGAACTTGTCTTTGTATTTTCTCTATAAACTATAAATGCAATTATGTCCATTTGGAGGCCAGGGTACCACATGTCACAGGCAGCCTTACATGTGTGCCATGAGAAAGTTCAAAGACTGTTAACAAAAAGAAAGTCTATGGGAACTCAAAATTTCATTTTTTAATGGTAATCCCCAAGATTTTCTCCAAGAAATAAATTGTTATTTTGTATTTTGTAACTTAAAAGCAGCTATTAGTACATTTCTGAGATATAGCAGGAGACCAAAACATTTTTGAAAAGAGAATAAATATATGAAGAGAGACTGGTTGTTTTATTTTCAGTGTGCTGAATATATTAGACTATTTATTTTGTGAGTGGATGTGATGAAATAAATATTCAGGTGTTTAGTATATGATTAAGAGTGGAATATAGATTCTTTGAAGTTGTTAAATCCATCATGTCTTTTACATAATGGACAAATCAAGTTTAAAAAAACAAACAACAACAAAAAAACAACCTTACATAGCTTAGCTTGTTTTCTGGTGCTGTTGACCTGCAAGAGAAAATACTTTTGCATATACAGGTGAATGTTTTGCAATTTATGTATACAAGAAATTGTAGGCATTAAAGATATTTTATTGATATTTTTAGTGATTTGCATTTATTGATCAAAACTTTGAGTTATTCCTTATCATATTATACAGTTTTCTAGCTAAAATCTCCATAGATTTTTCAGACTTTAGGGGTTGGGTTTGTCTCCTGTACACACTTCTCTGCTTGTTCTCTGTCATACATTCATGTCTCTTCAGCCCCTACTACTGATCTCTCTCTCCTTTTACCAGCTTAAGTCCTGTTGTGCTCTCAGATACCCAAGTTAAGAGAACTGTAAAGTGGCTAGAATAATACATTCAGAAATTATAGTAGTTGTGTTTATGGATTTCAGATTCATTTTATTTTTCATAAAAAGGAAAATCCATTCATTGTGAAGAGCCACTTACAAATAGTTTAGTAAACATGTACCAAGTAATCTTGTGTGAGCTTTTTGTCATTATAACCAAACTATCTGACTAGTTTATTTTGGACTCACAGTTTCATTAAGTCTCAGTCCATGGTCAGCTGATTCCATTGTTCTGGGACCATAGTGAGGCAGAATAACATGACAAAAAGGTGGGCAGAGAAAAGTTGCTAAGCTCATTAGCTTATATAATACATAATATAAAATATATAATCCCCAAAGGCACCCCAATGACCTGCTTCCTCTAGCCACATCTTACCTGCCTATTAGTTACCTAACCTAGTAATCCACTCAGATTAATTAAACCATCAAGTGGATTAAGCCACTGATTAGGTTAAAGCTCTTATAATCTGATCATTTTACCTCTGAGCATTCCTGCATTTTCCATATGAACCTTTTGGGGACATCTCACATCCAAACCATTGAGACTATATAACCAAAAGATCTGCTTTGCTGGAAAGGATGCAGTTCTCTAGAGCATTGGAATTACAATCCCTAACCTGTGTTCCCACTTCCTGAGTGTTAATTGAAATCCTCAAACCACTTTCAGAGGGCTTATAAAGATCTTAGGGTTCAGGGCTAGGGATGTAGCTCAGTGGTAAAATGCTAGCCTGGCATGTGAGAGACCCTGTAGTCAATCCCCAGCACCACAAAAAAATTCTAGTGTTCCTACACTTAAATTTATTAATAAAATAGGTTTCATACTCAGGTTCCATCCCAGTTTCATAAACTACGCTGTACCATATGGAGGTCTGAGCCGTTAGCTTTTATGTCTACATATACTGGCTTTAAGGAATTATCAGGCAGCTTCTTGTCTTCAGGTGATAGACATTTAGGTAACAAAATCCTCAGATATCCCAGTCCTTCTCATTGGACTTGCCTTAGCACATAAAAGCATGTACTGGACAAGGCCTGGGTCTTAATCTTGACTTCGGCCTAGAGCTGTGTTGGCAAGATATTTAAGCCTCTCAATTTCTGCCACATTGCAAAGTTAACACCCAGTTTCAGAAGGCTAATATGTGTATTTTAGTATCTGTTCTCAATTTTAAAATGAGTTCCTTTCCCCACATGGGGTAAACTTTGTGTTCTTAGTAATAACTAAAAAGGCTACAGAGAAATCCCTACAAAGAAAAGGCTTAAAGTTGCTGTATCCTCTAGCCTTTTTTTGTTAACAGTACTTAAGAGGAGGATATTATTTGGAAAGTAGGTCTAAAGAGCTCTAGAAATTTCTATCCTTAAGGAAATTGAGTAGGGGACACAAAATTGCCTTGGAAGGGACCCAATCATCTCCTACCACCTTCTTACCCTCCACCTTCCTGTTATAATAATACCGTCTTTGTTCATCTTAAAAAGTGTGGAACTGGACATAAAATATGACAAAATAATGTGCAATTACTTTATGAGAAACCAACAACAGGAACTGTACAGCTAGTCAGGTGAGCTTCAGAGCTGCATTACTTCACCAGGATCATCCTTGCTTACTTCCACAGGGGTCTGGGGGGAAAAAAGTATGTCAGGTGGGTCCAGCGGTTGCTAGGGTGAAGGGCTCAAGCAATTGCTCTTCTTGCCAAGGGCGGCAAGGGTAGTTGTGTCCAATTCTGTCTCAGGTACCTAAGACCTCTGATGCTGGCTGCCAGGGGGCTCAACAAAGTGGGAGCTGACAAGAGGTAGAAAGGAAAGAAACATCAGCTACCAGAACCCTTTGTCAACAAGTATTTATGCAAAGATGGGTTAAGTCTGGGTTGCTGAAATGGACTGATTTAGGAAAATCTTATGAAGGTTGTTCATTTAAAAATATGCTGTTAGCATACTATAGATTAGATCACCCATGTCAGATACCTTTGGCTCTGGGCCAGAAACATCCATCCCCTTACCTCTAAATGAATAACTTTAAAAAAATCAATAAACTCCTTTAAGAAAATATGTGTAAAAGAGCACATGAAAGAAAGTGGGGGGGCTGGGGATGTGGCTCAAGCGGTAGCGCGCTCGCCTGGCATGCGTGCGGCCCGGGTTCGATCCTCAGCACCACATACAGACAAAGATGTTGTGTCCGCCAAATACTAAAAAATAAATATTAAAAAAAAAAAAAAAAAGAAAGTGGGAACTCCAAATTCTGAGTGTGAATAGTAACAGAAGTAGGTATTTTTTTTTTTTTGGTACCAGGGATTGAACCCAGGGGTGCTTAACCACTGAGCCACATCCCCAGCCCCTTTCCCCTTTTAAAAAAAAAATATTACTTTTATTTTCAGACAGGGTCTCACTAAATTGCTTAGGATTTCACTAAGTTGCTGAGGTTGGCTTTGAATTTGCGGTCTTCCTGCCTCAGCCTCCCGAGCCACTGAGATTTACAGGCATGTGCCACCGTGCCTGGCTAACTTTTTTTTTTAAAATACAAGAAGAGAGTATTTGTTTCTAAAGTTACTAGAGTTGGATTTTCATGCCTAGTTTGTTACTTAGGGGTATACACTTCAAAGTAGGAACAAAGTCAAAGGTACACTTACCCCTCCTGGGGGATATTTAAATCCCTTCCACATCGTTCCTGCAATGAGAAGCAACCATAAGACAACGATCATTGTGGGGCTTCTTGCTCAGCTGGTGGTGTGTGCCTAGGGAAATGGGTGGTTCTGGAAGGTAGTGTTCTATTCCCTGAGTTCTGGGAACTGGGCTGTCTTCATTAGAGACTAGAGGATGGATGGCCCAGCATGACAGCTCCTGGTTGACGGTCTCTGGGGTCTACTCTAAACTAAAATGGCTCTCCATGGCCATTTTGGGGGGCAGGGCTCAGACACCAATTGTGACATCAGCCCCTGTGACACTAGGGAAAAAAAAAATCACAGTGCACAGCTATGGGATGGTTGGCCAGGATGCCACCACATATGTTGGAGCAAAGAAACCTTATCAAAAGGGCCCTTATACTCTAGTGACTGTTTAGGATCTCAGTAACATCACATCCTTAATAACAACTCATTGCATACTAAAATATATAACTGGTAGCTTTAAACAATCTGATACAAAAAAAATTGCTATTCAAAAAAACAAAACAAAACCATCCTGGATTTACTGAGGGAATTAACTGGTTAGGTATACTATGAGCAATTAACTTTAAAGAGTGGCAGCTCTATAGCCCCTGACCTTTTTTTTTTTCTTTTAAGAGAGAGAGAAATTTTTGACATTTATTTTTTTTAGTTTTAGGCGGACACAACATCTTTGTTTGTATGTGGTCCTGAGGATCGAACCCGGGCCGCACACATGCCAGGCGAGCGCGCTACCGCTTGAGCCACATCCCCAGCAGAGCAATTAACTTTAATGCTATTGTTAGGCTGTTCAAAAAGGAAAATTCTTGCATTTTGTGAAATGCAATTTTCATCATGCAGCATAAACCTTACAACTACCGTGGGAAAAGAAGACAAGAAAGATGGACTATTATGTTCATTTCACAGCTGAAGAAATAGGCATAGAGTTGTTTAAGTGATTTGGTCAGGATTACACAATGTGGCAATGTCTCAGCTAAATATGTTTTCAGTTCTTCCATCCACATCCCCACGCTTCTCACAAAGGTCTGACTGCTTTGGGCCAATGCTCTCTTGGAAATCCTGGGGCAGATGGATTAAAAAACAAAATAAACAAGCAAAAAACCAACAACAACAAGAAAAACCAATCACCAAGTGTCCTGCTCTTAATATACCTAAGATTAGGGCTTGACACCTCTTCCTTCTTAAAAAAAAAGGTGGCAGGGTGCTTCCAAAAACACTGCTCCTGTGTGATCAGGATAATAAGACTACAAAGAGTTAAGTTTATCCATCAATGGAACCACTCTTGAGAGGCATAAAAAAAATAACAACAACAAAAAAAAACAAACAATAGGATGCAAGAAACCTAGGAGATGGTTTGCTGAAAGTGATATGTCCATTTAATATTTTCTGTAGGCAGTCTGGTCTAGTGGAATGAATATGAGAGGCTTGAATCCTTCCCTCATCATTGAGCTGGCCTTGGGTAAATGCCTGAGGACACTATCATCAGTAAATCTTTGTTTACTAGTTCATTATTTTACTTAGTTGTTAAGTTAGTATTTTACTAAATGTTAATTGTCTGGTTTTGCATTAAATACTTACATGAATTCCCATATGTAATTTTTACAAAAATAGTTAAGATACTGAGATATCTCCCATTGTACAGATGATGAAACTGAGGTTCAAGGAAATTAAACTTCCCCAAGGTCACATAGCTAATAAGTGGCAAAGTTAGAACTTGAACTCAAGTTCATGTTCTCTAGTTTTATGATCTGCCAAAAAGGTGGTTTAAAATGTTGATACAAGCTAGGCACAGTGGTGCATGCTGGTAATCCCAGCAATTCAGGAGGCTGAGGCAGTAGAACAGCAAGATTGAGGCTAGCCTCAGAAACTTAGTGAGACCCTATCTCAAAAATAAAATAAAAAGGGCATCCCTGGGTTTGATCCTAAGGAAGGAAGGAAGAAGAGGAGAGGGGAGGGGTGAGGAAGGGAAAGAAAGGGAAGGGAGCATGAGGCAAAGAATGAGGAAAGAAGGGAGGAGGGGTGAGTTGGTACAAGATAGTACAGTATTTGTGAGGAGAAAATAAGTAAATGGGAATCATCTTCAAGAGCAATACCTATAGGGCTCGGATGTAGCTCAGTGGCAGAGCACTTGCCTAGTATGTGAAAGGCCTGGATTCTATCTCCAGAATAGCAAAAAATCACAACAAAACGAAAGGATACTTATACCTGAATTTTGGCCTCATAGTATTCCCCAAGTCCTCTTTCCCCACCATACACCTCAAATGATCTCCCCTTCTATGGTTTACTCTATTTTCCAGGAGATCAAACTCTCTCCGAGGAGACTCCAGTGCTAGAGTTCTCTGGAAACCCAGCCCAACAAATCTGACCACCTACTTACAGTGACAGATCTTCCTCCAAAGCCCGGCTCCTCCGTCGTGCCTTGCTCTCACGAATGGGCCACTTCTGTTTCCACTTTAGAGGTGGAGGCTGAGTCAGAAAGAAATTTAAAGATCAAGATGGCTCTACTTGTTGGCCTTGTAGGTAAGTAACTCTGGGTGGTGACTGGAAGCACTGCTGAATGGTCCCCCAAGTCCTCATGGTCCCTATTCCTACCAGCAACTCATGATCTACTTGTCTTAAAATCCAGAAGCTAGGCACTGTCTCCAGCAGACCCCTTATACATTTCAAGAAAGAAGGGGAAACCAAAAAGGACTTAAAAGAAGAGTGTCCCAATGAGATGAGGAGGAGCCTGGGAAACTAACTTTGTTCCCATCACATCCTGATTTCTAATTAGTGGTGAGACCTCAGCTCTCTCCAATTTGGTCAGAAATTCCAGATGGAGGTGTGAGGCAGAGCCAGAGGTGGCTACCAGGGATTTACACATAAAGTCATTACTTACTACAAACTCTGGAAATGTGCCCATGTAACATGCAAGTCCAACAAAAAGCACCCAGCCAAGCACAATCATGATAAAAAGGAAAATAATTTCTAAAATATAATCGCACAGTGAGAGACTATTCACCAAAATCTTGGCAAAGGAGCGTGCTCATGAAACCTTCAGTTGATAGAGATCTTGCATGTCAGTTCCATTCCTTGGCTCCAAAGGATCCGCAACTCCCTAATGGAGAAGTCTAGTAGGGCATTGTGACATCATTAATCACATGGACAAGACTCAAAACACACCAGAGATGCTTCCCCTGACCAGTAGCTAAGCAGCAAACTAATCTCTTTGTATACATTATCTCATAGAAGCACTGTGAGGTAAATATTACTATTAACCCCATTTTGCTAATGAGAAAACTGAGGTGTAGAGAGCCTACGTGACTTGTACTAGGGTATACAGCTGGTGCTTAAGATCCTGCCAAGACTTAGGACACATCGGCTTGTGAGGAAGTGGGGGGGTGTCTTAATATTAGAGACAGAGCTGGAGGTATAGCTCAGCGGTACAACATTTGCCTAGCTGTGCAACCCCTACATTCTAATCCTAGGGATTTGGAAAGGTGTATTGCCTGATCCATGACGCCTGTGAATGAAGCAAAATGAGTTCTACGTATATGATAGATCTATTTTCTGTCACCACAACACCTCCTTCCCATCTTGGAAGGTTTTCTCACCACTATTTGATACATTACTTTGCAGCTTTTTAAAAAATTTGTTCTTTTTAGTTATAGATGATGATATATTTCAACATATTTATATAAACATGGAGTACATCTTATTCTAATTAGGATTCCAGTCTTGTGATTGTACATGATGTGGAGATTCACTGTGGTGTATTTATACGTGTACACAGGAAAGCCAAATTCATTCCTCTGTCTTTCCTCTTCCTGTTCCCACTCCCTTCCCTGCACCCTCATTTGTTTAATCTACTGAACTTCTATTCTTTCCCTCCCTCCTCCCTTGTTGTGGGTTACCATAAACATATCAGAAAGTACATTCAATCTTTGTGGGTTTTTTTTTTAATTATTTCCCTTAGACTAATTGGCTTATTTCCCTTAGTCTCCTCCATCCATTTTCTGGCAAATGTCATAAAGTCATTCTTTTTTATGGCTGAGTAATAATCCATTGTGTGTGTGTATACCACAATTTCTTCATCCATTCATTTGTTGAAGGGCACCTAGGTTGGTTCCACAGCTTGTCTACTGTGAACTGAGCCACTATAAACATTGATGTGGCTGTCACTGTAGTATGTTGATTTTAAGTCTTTTGGTTATATACTGAGGAGTGGGATAACTGGGTCAAAAGTGGGATAACTGGGGGCTGGGGATGTGGCTCAAGCAGTAGCGCACTCGCCTGGCATGAGCGTGGCCCGGGTTCGATCCTCAGCACCACATACAAAGATGTTGTGTCTGCCGATAACTAAAAAATAAATATTAAAATTCTCAAAAAAAAAAAAGTGGGATAACTGGGTCAAAGTTTTCTAAGGAATCTCCATATTGCTTTTCAGAGTGGTTGTACCAATTTGCAGTCCCACTAGCAATATATGAGTGTACCTTTTCCCCACATCCTCGCTGATATTGTTACTTGTATTCTTAATTATTGCCATTTGGACTCAAATGAGAAAAATCTCAATATTTTGATCTGAATTTTCCTAATTACTAGAGATGTTGAAAATTTTCATATATTTGTTGACCATTTGTATATAGACCATTGTATTCCTTTTGAAATGTGTTTAATCCTTTGCCTACTTGTTGATTGGGCTATTTGTGGTTTTTTTTTGTTTTTTTTTTTTTTGAGATTTTTATATATCTAGGAGATGAATTCTCTATCTGAGGTACAGGTGGCAAAGATTTTTTTTCCCAATCTGTAAGCTCTCTCCTCACAATACTGATTGTTTCCTTTGCTGTGAAGCAGCTTTTTAGTTTGATACTATCCCATTTATTGATTCTTGATTTTACTTCTTGTGCTTTAGGAGTCTTGCTGAGCAAGTCAGTTCCTAAGCTGACATGATGGAGTGTTGGGCCTACATTTTCTTCTAGTAGATGCAGGGTTTCTGATCTAATGCCTAAGTCTTGAGTTTTGTGCAGGGTGAGAGACAGGGGTTCAGTTTCATTCTGCTACATATGAATTTCCAATTTTTCCAGCACCATTTGTTGAAGAGGCTGTCTTTTCTCCAATGTAGGTTTATGGTGCCTTTGTCTAGTATGAGATAACTGTATTTATGTGGGTTTGTCTCTGTGTCTTCTATTCTATTCCATTGGTCTTCATGTCTGTTTTGGTACCAATACCATGCTGCTTTAGTTACTATAGTTTAGTAGTATAATTTAAGGTCTGGTATTATTATGCCTCCAGCTTCAATTTTCTCACTAAGGATTGTTTTGGCTATTCTTGGGCTCTTATTTTTCCAAATGAATTAATGATTTCTTTCTCTATTGCTATGAAGAACTGCACTGTGATTTAAATAGGAATTGCATTAAATCTGTATAGCACTTGTGGTAGTAGTATGACCATTTTGATTATACTATTTTGCCTATCTCAGAACATGAGAAGTCTTTCTATCTTTTAAGGTTTTCAATTTCTTTCTTTAGTGTTCTGTAATTTTCATTGTACAGGTCTTTCACCTCTTTTGTTAGACTGATTCCCAGGTATTTTTTTTTTTCTTTTTTTGAGGCTACTGTGAATGGGATGATTTTCTTAATTTCTCTTTCAGCTGATTCATCATTGGTGTATAGGAACACAACTGATTTATGGGTGTCAATTTCATACCCTGCTACTTTGCTGAATTGATTTATGAGTTTTAGAAGTTTTCTGATAAAGTTTATAGGATTCATGTTGTTAACAAATAGGGATAGTTTGAGTTCTTTTTTTTTTTCTACTGTATCCCTTTAATTTCATACTTTTGCCTAATTGCCCTGGCTAGAGTTTCAAGGACTATGTTGATGAACATAGATGTAAAAATTCTTAATAGAATACTGGCAATCGCATATAAAACATTCTAAACATTCTTGGACTGTACCATGTCCAAGCAGGTTTCATTCTAGGAATGCATATGGAAATCAATAAATGTAATCTACCACATCAACAGACTTAAGACAAGAATCAAATGATTACCTGAGTAGATGCATAAAAAGCATTTGACAAAATACAGCATCCATTTGTGTTCAAAATACTAAAAAAACTAGGGATAGTAGGAAAACACCTCAATATTGTAAAAGGTATATACATTAAACTCAAGGCCAACGTTATTCTAAATGGAGAAAAACTGAAAGCATTACCTCTAAAAACTGGAACAAGACAAGGATGCCCTCTTTCACCACTTCTATTCAACATATTGGAGTATAAATTTTCAAAATAGTTTCTGATTATCCTCTGGTATCTGTGGTGATATTTCCCTTTTCTTCACAAATTTTAGAAATTTGAGTTTTTTCTTCTTTCTCTTGATTAGCATGGATAAGGGCTTATCAATTTTGTTTATTTTTTCAAAGAACCAATTTTTTGTTTTGTTGATATTTTTGAATTTTTTGATTTCAATTTTCTTGATTTTGTCTCTGATTTTAATTATTTCCTGTCTTCTACTGCTTTTAGTGTTGATTTGGTCTTTTCCAGGGCCTTGAGATATAATGTTAGGTTATTTATTTGGTGACTTTCATTTTTTTTTTTTATGAATGAGCTCAATGCTATGATCTTTCCTCTGAGAACCACCTTCATAGTGTGCCAGAGATTTTGATGTTTTGTTGCTATTCTCATTTACCTCTAAGTATTTTTTTTATTTCATCCCTGATTTCTTCTGCTATGCATTGATCATTAAGTAACACATTATTTAGTCTCCAGATGTCAGAGTAGCTACTATTTTTTTATTATATCATTGATTTCTAATTTCATTCCATTATAATCTGATAGAATCCAAGGTATTATCTCTATTTTCTTTTGTATTTGCTAGGCATTGTTTTGTGGCCTAAGATGTGGTCTGTTTTAGAAAATGATCTGTGTACTGCTGAGAAGAAAGTGTATTCATTCATTGATGAATGAAATATTCTATATATGTCTGTTAGGTCTATTTTATTAATCGTATTTTTTAGTTCTATATCTTCTTTGGTTAGGTTTTATTTGGACAATCAATCCAGTCATGATGGAGGAGTGTTAAAGTCATTCAGTAGTACTATGTTGTGGTCTATTTGATTCTTGAAATTGAGAAGGGTTTGTTTGATGTACATAAATGCTCCATTGTTTGGGGCATAAAAATTTATGATTGTTATATCTTGTTGATGTATAATCCCCATAGGCAGTATGAAATAACCTTCTTTGGCCTTTCTGATTAACTTTGGCTTGAAGCCCACTTTATCTGATATGAGGATAGAAACCCATGCTTGTTCACGAAATCCAAGGGAATGATATGTTTTTTTCCCCACCTTTTTACCTTTAGTCTCTGCCTATGAGGTGAGTCTCTTGGACACAGCATGTTGATGGGTCTTGTTTTTTAATGCAATTAGCCCATCTATGACTTTTGATTGATGAATTTTGGCCATTTATATTCAATGTTACTATTGAGAAATAATTTTTATTCTCTGCCATTTTATTTCTGGTTTTTAATTTCAATTAATTTCTCCTTTGATTGACTACTCTTCTAGTGTAGTTTCTCCCTTTTCTAGTTTTCAATTTTATTTTTCATTTCTTCTTTATGAAATATTTTATTGAATATGTTTTGTAGTGCAGGCTTTCCAGTTGTGAATTCTTTTTTAACTTTTGTTTATCTTGGAATGTTTTTATTTCATCATCAAATCTGAAGCTTAATTTTGCTGGATATAGTATTCTTAGTTGGCATCCATTTTCTTTGAGGGCCTGGTATATGTAATTCTAAGGCCTCCTACCTTTTAGGGTCTGGATTGAGAAATCAGCTGATATCTGGACTGTTTTCCCTCTGAATGTGACCTGTTGTTTTTCTCTAGCAGTCTTTAAAATTTTATCCTTATTCTGTAGGTTGGGCATTTTTATAATGATGTGCCTTGGTGTAGGTCTGTTGTAATTTTGTATGTTTGGAGTCCTGTAAGCCTCCTGTATTTGATTTTCCATTTCATTCTTAAGGTCTGGGAAATTTTGTGATATTTCTTCATTGGTTTATTTCTAAGCTTTCATCCATTCTGATAAATCTTGATGCTCTTTTTCATGTATTCCAATGTTTCTTGAAATTTCTGTTCATGGTCACTTAACGTCTTTTTTCCATGGTCAACTTTATTTTCCAGATTATATATTTTTTCTTCATTGCCTGAAACTCTATCTTCTAAGTAGTCTAGTCTGCTAGTGATGCTTTCCATTGATTTTTTTAATTAAAATTTTGTTTTCATTGTAGTTAGACACAATTCCTTTATTTTATTTTTATGTGGTGCTAAGGATTGAACCAATACCCTTGCATGTGCTAGGAAAGCACTCTACTGCTGAGCCACAACCCCAGCCCCTCCACTGAGTTTTTAATTTGATTTCCTGATTCCTTCATTTTGAGAATTTCCAATTGATTCTTCTTTAGGATTTCTATCTCCTTATTGAAGAGATCTTTCACTTTTTGGATTTTTCTCTCTGATTTCACTCCTTATTTCATCTTTTACATCACATATCAGTTTAACTATGAACTTTCTAAATTCCTTCTCTGATATTTCCTCCACTGTGATCTCATTGGATTGTTAATGAGGTATTTTTATTTTGGGGGGATGGGTTGTTCCCTTGCTTTTTGAGCTGTTTGTATGTCTACCCATTTATCAATAAGAATCTGATGTGGCAGAGCTTCTACCCTGTGAATTTATAGTGTTCCTGAAGTTTTCTAATACCTTAGGGGAAGACAAATAATAATAACAAGCAATGCAATCAATATTCAGCATTAAACTAAATATTTATTTCCTTTTTTGGCATCTACAATGTTAGCTGGCAATATAAACAGAAATGGTATAGAAGTTATCCATTGTTTTTTGAAATTTTGGTTCAGGGTCACAGATATTATGTTTACAAAAAGGGTTTGCTATTTCAAAAGGTGAAGAGAATGCAGACATGTAGGATGTAATAATTAAGAGAGAGGATGAGACAGAATAGTAGTAAAGAGTAAAAGGAAGAGTGAAAGAACAGTAGAATTTGACTGTTAGGGAAAGAAAAGAAAAGAAGATAATCAAGGGAATTAGGAGAAAAATAATATGAAACAAAACAAAAAATAAAACCAAGGTATACTAATCAAAAACCCTAGTCCTTAAAAAAAGAGTCAAGAAAATAGTTACCTTCAAGAAATGCTAGAAATGAGAAGATTGAGACAAATATATATATGTACAAATGTTCATGGGCTGTTCAGCATACAAAACTTAAAAACCAAAAAGGAAAAAAAAAAGGTTCTTGATGGGATATTTCCTGCTTTTTAAAATACCTGTTAACTTTTGAACATGTTGAATTTTACTGGATTCTGTTGTATTCCTTACAAGAGTGTTGGACTTTGTTCTAAGATCTTCTGAAGCTTGTTTGTAAGCTTTGTTATGGAACGCCAAGAGCAGTCTTACTATAGGATTAATTACCTACACTACTGAGATATGTCTGTTAATTACCTACACTACTGAGATATGTCTGTTCTTCTCTCTGAAGCCTATTATATTAGATCTTCCATTCTGTGGAATTTTCTACAACTCCCAGAACTTAAGGAATTCTAAGAAGTGTTGGCCTACTGCTTTTGGTGATTCTTTTCCAGGCCTAATTGTATTTTATTCCATGTATGTGCAGACAGAACTCAGCCAAAGCCTCTTGAAGGCCCCTGTAAAAATCTCCAGAGTTATTTGTGGAGATCCCTCTTTTCAGAACTCCATCCTGCAAATTTCTGGCACTCTGGCCTCATTTGTATTCTTTATCTTTCTCTTCAACTCAGCAAGACTCTCATTTTGAGTATCCCTCTCTGTACTATAGTCTGAAAACTGCCTCCAGGCTGGGGAAATTGTAGAGCTAGCTTCATTTGTATCTTTCAGAGATCACAGTCTTGTGCTGCTTCAAGTACAAGGTCTGTAAATAATTATTTCATACGTTTTGTGAAATTTTCTATATATTTATGGAGAGAGGCAATTCCTATAGCAGTTGGTCTTTCACAAAAGCCTGATTTATTCTTTTTTAATTCCTGCATAGTATTCTAGTTTATTTCATCTTTTTTCAATGATTTACTCTGTTAAGGATCAGCCAGGAGATAGGACAGTAATCTGAAAAGAAAATGTTTAATAAAGCACACAGTAATTTGAACAGGGATGTTTAATAAAAATAAATATTAACTAGGAGTAAGAGATTAACTATGGAAGGGATAGAAAGCAGTACTTATTACAAGAACAGCATAGAGAGAGCAGCCATTATCTCTAGTGTACAGTACCCATCTAAGAAATAAATTTGGAAAAGTCCCCTCCCTTCTGGAGCTGGGACCTAAAATTTGAGAAGTCATAGTGGCCATGACCAATGAAATGGTAGAGAGGTCCAATGAGCTGCTGCAAGCCAAATCTAGGAAGGAGGGAACTACTCACTCTTTGAGGTGATGGTAGAATTTTCAGGAAGCCTCCAGAGTGGGTTCTGTCAGAATTACTGAGCATCATTGAGAAACTGGGGATGTGGCAGTAGAATGTACCAGGAAGCTGCCCTGGGGTGAGCTCGTGGAACTCACTGGCAAACTGTTTCAGGGATGTGGAAGCTGTTCACAGAGGGCCATGACACTCATTGGGGATGAGAACCACTAGATGTACCCATAAATGCCACTGTCAGCCACATAGTTGAACTAAGAAGAAAACAAGCATGCTAGATCTAGGAAGAGAAAGCCCTGTGTCCTTCAGCATCTTCCCTAGAGCCCTCATGTCCACTTATCAAAACAGAATTGCTTATAGGGTCCAGCTCTATTATGGCAGAACAAGAAGCAAACGGTGGATTTGGATCAAAAGGTAATACATTAATAACTAATATCATATGCATTTCCATTTTTCCAATTTTTGCTATGATTATTAAAAGCAAAATTTCTTAGTTGAATTTCTCTTAACATTTTCATTTTTTTTCCTTAGCAAAGAAGCAACACAGTAATAAAGAGTATGGCCAATTCAGACAAAGCATGGAGAGGCTGCATAAAACCTTACAAAAAGAAACAGATTAAGAAAAGCAAGAAAGATTGCAGTATGTCATTTCACAAAGTATAAAAACAAAGCCACAGAGGTTGTAATAAAGGATATTTTTGAAAGGATAGCCTGAGGTGAAGAATATGCTAGTCAGGGGCTGGAGATGTGGCTCAAGCGGTAGCGCGCTCGCCTGGCATGCGTGCGGCCCAGGTTTGATCCTCAGCACCACATACAAAGATGTTGTGTCCGCCAAGAACTAAAAAATAAATAAATATTAAAAAAAAAAAAAAAAAAAGAATATGCTAGTCAATGAAAGAATAACAAGCTCCAAACACCTAAGAAGCATAATATGATATGGATACACCTGTGATATTTGCAGTAACAAGGTCTCATCCCCTATAGATATGTCTTCACAAGGCCAATAATTATGCAAGTAACTGAGACCAAAAGAATAGTATCAAGGGACTGTGGCCATGGCTCAGCAGTAGCACACTTACCTGGCATGTGTGAGGTACTGGGTTCAACTCTCAGCACTGCATATAAATAAATAAAATAAAAGATCTATCAACAACTAAAAAAAAATTTTTTAAAAAGCATAGTATCAAGAAACAAATTCTAATTTTAAACAAGCCATTCTTGTGATTTTTCTAAATCTTCAAAGAAAGACAGAGAATGTCAAAAAACTTTCCCATTTTTTAGTTTGAGGATTTATTTTCTTTTAACATAATTAACACTTTTATACATATATCCTGGTTATTTTTATTTCCATAAGACAGATTCCCCAAAGTGGGGTTATGGAGTTAAAGGTACTTCAGACTACTATGCCAAAAAATTATGAACCAATTAGACTCCCCTCCAACTACACTTGAATTTCTTAAAGCTGGGTCTAGTGGCCTTCTGTGAAATCATGAATATTTCAGAAATTAGACACAAAATTAATGGTATACATAAGCATAAACAATTTTAGGGCAAGTCTATATTTTCTAACAGATTTCTTTTTTTTTTTTTTAATAGTTCTCCCCAAATGTCTGGAGGTACTTTGGACTTTTTTTTTTTTTTTTTTTTTTTAAGAGAGAGCGAGAGAGAGAGAGAGAATTTTTTAATATTTATTTTTTAGTTTTCAGCGGACACAACATCTTTGTTTATATGGGTGCTGAGGATTGAACCCGGGCTGCACGCATGCCAGGCGAGCGCACTACAGCTTGAGCCACATCCCCAGCCCTCCAACAGATTTCTTAAAAGTGTGAAGCCCAGACAAGGCTGAGAACTAATACATATAGGGCTGGGGTTGTGGCTCAGTGGTAGAACACTCGCCTAGCACGTGTGAGGCCATGGGTTCAATCTTCAGCACCACATAAAAATAAATAAATAAAGTTATTGTGTCCAACTACAACTAAAAAATAAATATAAAAAAGAACTAATACAATATACATTTATTTCCCTACGCTTTCTTTCATTCAGCAAACTTTCTATTGAAGTTCTCTTTATATCTGCTTACTAAATATTAGTAGAATTAATAAATGCATATATTCAAACATATAAGGCACTGGGAACATAGAGATGAATGAAATGTGACTTCTATTCTACAGGGCCTCACAGTCTTTGTGGATAGAAAGAAAGTGAAAGAAAGTGGAAATGAAGGTAGACAGGTACTCTAGTACAATCAAATATTCTAGCAGGCACTAAGGCATGAGGCAAGGAAGAATAAAATGTAATTGGGGAAGACTGAATGTTTCAGCCTGCTGAGATCTAATAGCACCCGTTTCAGGAGAGAGGGTGGCCAATCTAGAAGTCAGAGGGTGGCTTCAAAAAGCATAAATTTGTATTATATACCTTCTTTTTGTAACTAAATGTCAACAGGCACACAGTTCAGACTTCCTAAATTATTATTTACAGTGGTAAGGACTGAACCCACCCAGGGCCTCGTGTACGGTAGACAGGTACTATACTCTAAATTATTACCAATCACAATCTCATCACAGTTTCACACAATAAAAGGCGGTATAATACATAGATTAGGAATATGTTTTTTGACATTACATACAATAATTTAACCTGAGTCTTTGGCTTCCCTGTCTGTAAAATGAAGCTTATTACACTACATATATTCTATTTTAAGATGCACACTTTTTCATACTCAAGCTCTTTTGAAATAAATATACCTATTAAAGTCAGTACTCATATTTAATTTTGTAGTTTTTTTTCTTCCACCCCAAAGCTATCATATTAATACACCTTTTACTTAAAAGGATGGATCTCAGAGCCTGGGCATGGTGGCACACACCTGTAATCCCAGCAGCTAGGGAGGCTGAGGCAGGAGGATCATGAGATCAAAGCTAGCCTCAGCAACTTAGCAAGGCCCTAAGCAACTCAGTGAGACCCTGTCTCTAAATAAAATATAAAAAAGGCTTGGGATAAAAAAAAAACAAAGGCAGAATGATGTCTTTGATATGAGGATGCAGATGCATAATGGCGACTGGGGTGTGGGAGCATGGGAGGAATAGAGGAACTTTAGATAGGACAAAGGGGAGAGAGGGGAAAGGAGGGGGTAAGGAGGTGGAATGAATTAGACATCATTACCCTATGTACATGTAAAAGACACATATGGTGTGAAAATACTTTATGTACAAACCAGTGTCTTGAAAAATTGTGTTCTGTATGTGTAATATGAAATGAATTGCATTCAGCCATCATGTATAACAAATCAGAATTTTAACAAAAAGGGCTGGGGATATGGCTCGGTGCTTAAACATCCCTGGTGCCTTTGGGGAAAAAAAAATGGATCTCAGAAACAAGAAAACAGGTAATATAACACTAATTTCATCATTAGTAAAACTGATGTACTAATTCTTTCCAGGTCATAAGTTTTTATAAAGATTAACTAAGATAAAACCCATTAAACTCTTGTACCTTCCACAAAGGAAATCACACATACACACAAACAGTATTCATAGTGACTATATTAGAAGAGAACTGGTGTTTTGGATGGAAGGCCACTTCCATAAAAGGCTGTTTTATAAAAGATGAAAGAAACTTGTTCAGGTCTTGCTGCTAACCTTTTCCTTGATTAATAGATTTCTGACAGGATTCGTTAAACTGTGGAGCCCCTGGAAGTCCTACTATTTCTAAGGTGTATCTGATCTGGCTGAGTGCACTTTTATACAATCAGAAGGGCTGGGGATGTAGCTCAGTGGTCAAGTGCTTGCCTAGCATGTGCAAGGCACTGAGGTCTGATCCCCAGCACAACACATACAGAAAACAAAAACTTAATTAAGTCAAATCATTGTGTTCAAAACCTTCCAGTGGCTTTTCTTTCTGTCAAAATGAAAGCCCGAGAAAGAAAAAAAAAAAAACAAAACCCTAACATCAGGGAGCTGGTCTGACAATAGGTAGACCTCAGTATTGCTAGAAGCTGGCCTGGCATTCATAGAGAGGTCAGGTTGTTCTTTCGTCTTCTTTTTTTGGTACTGGGGATTTAACCCAGAGGCACTTAAAAAATAAGTCACATTTCCAACCGTTTTTTAATTTTTAATTTTGAAACACGGTCCTACTAAGTTGCTTAGGGCCTTGCTACTTTGCTGAACTTGGCTTTGAACTTGTGATCCTCCTACCTCAGCCTCCCGCGCCACTGGGATTACAAGCATGTACCACTGCACCCAGCTGCCAGGTTATTCTTCTGTTGCACATAAACCATTTCACAGAACACCAACCCAAACATAGTCACTCAGATCATGAGAAAGTGAGACACAGCAGGGCCACTTAATTTTGTTTGAACAAAGACAAGAACAAGGTCACTGTGTAATCTATGTAATACCAAACATTCTCCTCTCTCTAATAAAATTGACTGATGTTTCTTTATCAATTGTGGCTTTATCCTCACCCTATTTTGTTCATCTTACAGATAATATTTATTGAGATATTCCAGTCACAGAAATGTCCCTGCTTTCTGACAGGATACAATCCAGAGTGAAGATTTGTTTCCTTAAAACCTTCCCCAAGTTACCCAGATCCTGTAATAGTTTCTTTCTAACACTCTTACTGAGCTGTCCCAATGGTTCCCCACAATACTTTTCCCCTCATTTCAAGGAGTAATAAATCCACTTTGTTTAAACACAGGTGTGTTCCTGATGGTCTCTGGCTGGAGGGAAAAACCACAGTCCTGAAAATTGTCTACAAAGCCCCACAGTGGCTCTTTGATATGACCTCAGAATCGCCTGGAAATCTGTTTAAACAGATAGCTGGGGATCCCCAGAGTTTCTGATTAAATAAATCAGGAGTGGAAGTGGGGTCTTAGAAATGACTTCACCATTAATTTCTAAGAATATACACTGAAATATACAATGCATGCATATTTCAAAACAAAATGTTGTATACAATAAATATATATAATGTTTGTGTCTATTGATAAAATTGATTTTTTTAAAAAAGAACTGCATTTCTAACACATTCCAGGTGATACAGAGGTTGTTACCTGAGACCACATAAGAATCGCTTATGTAAACCATCTCTCCTTCCTGCTTTTTTTCTCTGACTTCCATCTCTGCTTGCTCACTTCTTACTTCATTTTATTCCAGCCATTTGGGCCTCCTTGTTGTTTTGAGCCTCCCCAAACACATTCCTGTCATGGGACTTTGCTGTGGTTGCCCTCTAATTGAACACTCATCTCCTCACCTCTCAATGAGATATACCCTGGTCTTCTTTATCCTATCATTTAAAATTTTTATTCTTCACCACACCTTTGTGTCAATGCACCTGTGTCAATTTCATTGGCATACTCACAGAACTGAAAAGTTGGCACTAAATGGGTTAAGAAATGCTCCTTCCAGCTTTTCACTGTCTTCTCCTTATTGAGTCACAACATCCCTACTTTTGGCTCTTCCTATAAATACAATCACCCTCCTGACTAACAAACCTCTTGATAACTACAATAGCCAGCTACTACAATTTTTTAGCCCCAGCGCCTCAAGTCAGGGGTTCAGGGCAGATAAGTAGCCTCACAAGTCAAGGAGACTGAATAACACCAGAAAATTATAGTATTCTCCATCTATTCTTCACCTTCCTCTTCCAGACGACTGTATCCACTCATCTCCTCCCTCTCTAGTTTTCAAACTTTTGCCCTCCCTCCAACAGGGTTTTTTCTCTCTCAACCACTAACAGTTTTGGCAAAAGTCCTAAAAAAAAAAAAAAAAAAAAAAGGAACTACTTCAAACTCTTTCCCTCATGCTGCATTACCTTCACTCTTATCTGTTACCTGACAAGACTCCTCCTGTTTTCCCTTTCTACTCTTTGAAATTTAGCTTTTAAATTTCCACTACCTCTTCCTCCTCATATCCTACTACAATTTTTGGTCTTGATTTTTTTCTGGTACTCGGTTGAATTAAACACATTTCTACAAAATCGCGTGTTGCTTCTATGTCTTTTGCTACCTCTACACAAGTCCTTCCTACTCCTCTTTTCAGAACTGTCTGGGTTTCCTTCCAGCAAGCTGCGGGAGGTTCGCTTTCAGCCCACGCGGTTCTAGCCGCCCTTTCCTTACCTGACTGCTCCGCGCTTCAGCCTCTGGGCGGAGTCCCAGCTGAGCCTGCGGCGTTGAATGCGGCTGGAATTTCGTCTGGGAAGGGGCGGGCCCTTAGACTGCTAGGCAAGGTTGGACCTCCGCGGCTTCCGTCGTGGAGAGGTTGCGGAAGAAGGTACTGGGGCTGGGGTCCTGGAACCGTGCTCCGGGATCTGGCTAGAGATGGAGTTCGACTGCGAGAATGTGAGACGGCTGCTAGGCAAGGTGTGGGCAGCCTGCTGGGCTGAGTCTGGGACTCGGGGATCGGGAGGGAGGGTGTCACCGCCCCTGACCGGGCTGCCGCGCCTCGCGTTACTCGGTTTGGAGCTGAGACCCACTGGTCTGAAGCCGGCTGTGAGCAGCGACCCCTGGGAGGCCACGGGATCTGAGGCCACCTTGCCCCACCAAGGCCTGGGCTTTCGCTCTACTCACTGCTCCCCAGTTTCTACCCGCAAGAGTGCTTCTCAGCTACGGTCTTTGCTGGCCTCAAACAGCCCCAGCACACACTGTCCCTGTGATCACGCCTTTTTGCTGAAATGGCCTGCTCTTTTTCCTCATCCTTTTTTAAGACTCAGGCACTGCTGGAAGTCTGACTCACTTCTTCCTCTCATCTGCTTTCAAAAACATGTTACCACTTTGTGGAGTAATTATTTACATTTTTTTCTACTGTTGTGAGCTCTTTTGAAGGCAGGCACTGCGCTTTTTTTATGCCCTTCACCTAGCGCTATGCCTGACAGCAGCATAGATGCTGAATAGCTGAATGATAGACCTGAGTAGATACAAGTATGAAGACAGAGCCCAGGAAAGATCCTTTTAATGTTGAAAGGTTGAGGATGGGAGGAGTGATCCAGAAATCTGGTGCCTGACTAGTGTGTTTACAGTGAGAAGATTAAAGGCACCACTGACCTCTTAGACCCCACCAGTTAGCAGTCTGAGAAAATTCTCATTTTCAGGAGTGTCCTCCTTAAGTGATTCTTAATATTTCCCTGTGCAGAAGTCATACACATGAGCTATTTTGTTGAACCTGCCTGACTTCTCTTTTGCGGGGGCATTTTGCACACCTCTGGGAGGTTTTGAAGCCCCAAGACTGAAATTATTTATGTAATTAATTTGAATGAGTTTATTTATTGTGAAAGATGTAAATCTTTTAGGAAGAGAAGTATCATCATTCTTAAAATTACTACCCTTTCTGTCCCCTCTTTGGAGAATGTTAAATTAAAAGAACCAGTCTACCAAGTTATTCTGTTGTTTGGTTGGTTCCCTTCCTCCCCCATACTGGAGGATTGAACCCAAGGTGCTTTAAGCCGAGCTACTTCCCTAGCCCCTTTTTGTTTATTTATTCTTTGGGGGTATTGGGAATTGAACCCAGGGGATTTTGACCATTGGGCCACATCCCCAGTCCTTTTTACTTTTTATTTTTGAGACAGGGTCTTTCTAAGTTGTTTTAGGACCTTGCCAAGTCGCTGAGGTTGGCCTCAAAACTTACCATCAGGCTCCTGCTTCAGCCTCTCAGGTTGCAGGAATTACAGGCGAGCCACCACAGCTGGCTTCTTTTTACTTTTTATTTTAAGACAGAGTCTGGCTAAGTTGCCCTGGTTGACCTCTAACTTGGGATCCTCCTGCCTAGGCCTCCGCAGTAGCTGGAATTATAAGGGTGCAACACCATGCCTGGTACTACCAAGTGTTAATGTGGGGAGGATGATCAATGTCCTCTATGGGAAGAATTGTTTAAAAAAAAGCTTTGGTTGAACTGGAACAAAGGAAAATGGAGACAAAGATTTTCTTAAGGGTGGAAGTAAAATAGAGGAATTTATATTATTATTAGACTCAGTTCCTCAAGAAGGCCTTTCTGTAATTTGGATATGCTTTATGTTGACTGATAATTTCCTGCCTCTACTTACTATTTGCATTCATATTTTTTTAATATCTCATTTTTACATGTTAATTATGAGATCCTCATGCATACTATTGAAGAAGCTGATAGGCAGTTAAGTTATATCTTTTTTTTTTTTTTCCCTTGATACTGGGGATTGAACTCAGGGGCACTCAACCACTGAGCCACATCCCCAGCCCAATTGTGTATTTTCTTTAGAGACAGGGTCTCACTGAGTTGCTTAGCTCTTCGCTTTTGCTTAGGCTAGCTTCAAACTTGCAATCCTGCCTCAGCCTCCTGAGCCACTGGTATTCAGGCACGTGCCACCATGCCTGGCCAAGTATATCTTTTTTAAATTAAAAAAAATTCTTTTTAGTTATATACAATACCAGAGGACACCCTGACATAATCACAAAAGCATGTAATACAACCCACTCCAATTCAGTCCCCAGCACTGCCTTCCCCTGTCTTCCCTCCACTCCAGAAATCTCTCTTTAAACTATTTACGGTTTACTTTTTTTTTTTTTTTATATTAGTGTCCTGTGGATATACCCAATGCTGGGACCCACTGTGCCACATCCATGCATGCACATATAAAAGTTCAGTCAGATTCATTCCACTGTTCTTCCCTTTTCCTTTTCACATTCCACTGTTCTTCCCTTTTCTTCTTTCAATCCCCTTCATCTATTCTAATGATATTTCCTCATTTTGATGAAATTCCTTCTCCCTTTTTCTTTTTTCTCTTTTCCTTTTCTTTTTTAATCTCTCTCTGATCCCTTATTTTGAATTCCCTTCTGCATATCAGAGAAAACATTCAACCTTGGACTTTTTTTTTTTTTTTTGAGAGAGAATTTTAATATTTATTTTTTAGTTTTCAGCGGACACAACATCTTTGTTTGTATGTGGTGCTGAGGATTGAACCCCGGGCCGCACGCATGCCAGGCGAGCGCGCTACCGCTTGAGCCACATACCCAGCCCTTTGGACTTTTTTTAATTGCTATAAACATTGATGTGGCTGCAACACTGCAGTATGCTGATTTAAATCTTTGGGATATATACTAAGGAGTGGGATAGCTGGTTCATATTGCTGGTTCCATTACTAGTTTTCTAAAGAATCTCCATAATGCTTCCAGAGTGGTTGCACTAATTTGCTCTCCCATCAACAGTGTATGAGTATACCTTTTTCCCCACATCCTCACCAACATTGTTATTTGTATTTTTTTTTTCACTTTTTTATTTGTTCTTTTTTTTTTTTTTTTTTTGAGTATATTTGTTTGGGTTTATTTTTATTTGTTCTTTTTAGATATACATGACAGTAGAGTGCATTTTGACATACATGCATGGAATATAACTTATTCTAATTAGGATCTCATTCTTGTGATTGTACATGATATGAAGTTTCACTGGTCACGTATATTCATACATGAACATAGGAAAGTTATGTCTGATTCATTATACTGTCTTTCCTACTCTCCTCCTTACTTCCTTCCCTTCATTCCCCTTTGTCTAATCCAATGAACTTCTGTTCTCTACCCTCACCATATTGTGTGTTAGCATCCACATATCTGAGAGGACATTTGTCTTGGTTTTTAGGGATTGGCTTATTTTACTTAGCATGATAGTCTCTTAGATCCATCCATTTACTGGCAAATGCCATAGTTCCATTCTTCTTTATGACTGAGTAATATTCCATTGTGTATATGTTCCACATTTTCTTTATCCATTCATTTGCTGAAAGGCACCTAGGTTTGTTCCATAGCTTGGCTCTTGTGAATTGATGTGGCTGCATCATTGTAGTATGCTGATTTTAAGTCCTTTGGGTATATACTGAGGAGTGGGCTAACTGGGGCAAATAGTGGTTCCATTCCAGGTTTTTAGAGGAATCTCCATACTGCTTTCCCGTGCACCAGTTTGCAGTCCCACCAGCAATGTATGAGTGCACCTTTTTCCTTACATCCTCGCCAACATTTATTATTCTTGATAACAGCAATTCTGACTTGAGTGAGATAGTTTTGAGTTAAATTTCCTAATTGCTAGAGATGTTGAACATTTTTTCATATTTTGTTGACCATTTGTATTTCTCCTTTTGAGAAGTATTTGTTTAGTTATTTATTTATTTTTGTGTGTTACCTTTTTAGTTTGTTGCATATTTTGAATGTTAATGTCCTATCTGAGGAGTAGGTGGCTGTTGTATATTTTGAATGTTAATGTCCTATCTGAGGAGTAGGCGGCAAAAATCTTCTACCATTCTCTAGGCTCTCTTTTCATGCTTTTGTTACCTTTGCTGTTCAGAAGCTTTTCAATATGACACAATCCCACTTATTGATTTTTAATTTTATTTCTTGCACTTTAGGAGTCTTGTTAAGGAAGTCAGTTCCTGTGCCAACATACTGGAGTGTTGGGCCTACATCTTTAGCAGCTGCAGGGTTTCTGGTCTAATTTTGGGTTTCATCCCAGGGATACAAGGTTGGTTCAACATATGGTAATCAGTAAATGTAATTCACCACATAAACATATCAACCTCAAGAATCACATAATTACCTAAGTAGATGCAGAAAAAGCATTCGACAAAGTACAGAATCCATTCGTGTTTAAAACACTAGAGAAATGAGGCATAGAAAGAACTTACTTCAACATTGTAAAGACTATAAATGATAAACCTAAGGCCAACCTCATACTGAATGGAGAAAAACTGAAAGTATTTCCTCTAAAAATAGAAGCAAGAAAAGAATACCCACTTTCGCCACTGCTATTCAAGATAGTCCTTGAAACTCAGGCAGAGAAGGAAATGAAAAGGATACAAATAGGAAAAAAAGAGTTCAAATTTTCTCTGTTTGCTGACAACATGATCCTATATTTAGAAGATCCAAAAAACTCCACCAAAAGAATTCTAGAGCTCATAAATGAATTCAGCAAAGTAACAGGATACAAGGTCAACACTCATAAATCAGTCGCATTTCTGTACTCCAATGAGGAATCTGCAGAAAAAGAAATTAGGAAAATAATCCCCCCTTCACAAAAACCTAAAAAAAAAAACCTCTTGGGAATCAATCTAACACAAGAGTGAAGGATCTCCACAGTGAAAACTATAGAATATAAAGAAAGAAACTGAAGAGGACCTTAAAAGATAGGAAGCCTTCCCATGTTGTTAGGTAAAATTAATATTGTTAAAATGGCTACCAAAAGTACTACACTGATTCAACACAGTCCCCATCAAAATTCCAATGACATTCTTCACAGAACTAGAAAAGGAAGTTCTGAAATTCATTTGGAAAAATGAAAGAACCCAGTATAGCCAGAGCAATCCTTAGCAAAAAGAGTGAAGCAGGAGGCGTCACAATACTGGACCTCAAATTATACTTCAGAGCTATAGTAACAAAAATAGCATGATATTGGCACCATAACAGGCATGAAGATCAATAGAATAGAAGACATAAAGATACACCCACATATATACAGTTTTCTTGATACTAGACAAAAGCACCATAAACATACAGTGGAGAAAAGATAGTCTTTTTAACAACCAGTGCTGGGAAAACTGGAAATCAATATGTAGAAGAATGAAATTTAACTCCTATCTCTCACCCTGCACAAAAGTCAACTCAAAGTGCATCAAAGACTTAGACATTAGACCCAAAACCCTGTAACTTCTAGAAATCTTTTTTACTAATGAAAAATTTAAGGCTCAGAGAAGAAACAAGATCCATTAACAGTCATTCCCCACTTTCTCTCAATCTCCCCCAATCCTAAACATACACTAATCTATTTTCAGTTTCTATGGATTTGACTAATCTGAATATTTCATATACATAGGTCATATGATGTTTGATTTTTTGCACTGGATTTCCTTCGCTTAGCATAATGTTTTCAAGGTTCATCCATGTATCAGTACTTTGTTCCTTTAATGACTGAGCATTCCACTTTATGAATTTATCCACATTTTATTGGATAAATCCATCAGTTGATGGGCATTTGGATTGTTTTTGCTATTATGAATGAAGCTGGTATGATCAATTATATTCCATTATTTATGTGGATATGGTTACATTTTTCTTGGGTACATACCTAGGAGTGGAATTTCTGGATCATTTGATAACTCAATATTTAATATTTTGAAGAGCAGTTCTCACTGCTTTTCTAAAGTAGCAACACCATTTTATCACTAGCAGAGGTGTATTTGTATGGAAGTTCTGATTTCTCCATATCTTCTCCAATGCTTGTTACTGTCTCATTTGGATTATAGCCTATCTTGATAAGAGCATGAATCCTTCAGCTTTCTTGTTCTTTTTCAAGACTGATTTGACCATTCTGAGCCCCTTAAATTTCCATATGCATTTTAGAATCAGTTTGCAAATTTTTATTTTAAAAAGCTAGCTTACATTTTGATAGGGATTGTGTTGAATCTGTTGGAGAATATTGCCATTTTAATAATAATCTAATCCACAAACATGGGATGTCTTTCTATTTATATAGGTCTATTTTATTTCTTTCAACAAGGTTTTCTGTTTCAATTTTGTACCATGTTGAATTTATTTCTAAGTATTTTATTTACAGAATATTAATATATCCTCTCTTTTTTTATTTCACTTAATCCTTTCACAAGTCTCAGGAGTGGGTATTATTTCTCTTTGCAGAATAAGTTCAAAGAAATGAAATGATTTTGCCCACAAGGTAACCAAGATAGTATTTCTGGGAGGACTTCTTCATAAATGAGGAGGTAGTTCACTTAACATAACAGTAAATGCTTGCATGCTTTTGTTTTCCCTTTGTTTTTGTTTTGTTTTCTTTCATATTTGATATTAGAGATTGAACATTTGGGTGCTTTACCACTAAGCTAGATCTCCATTTCTTTTTGAGACAGGGCCCCTTTTAAGTCAGACTGGCCATGAATTTGCGGCACTCCTGCCTTCGCCTCCTAAATTGCTGGGATTACAAACATGTGATATCATGCTGGCTTGTTTTCCCTTGAAACCCAGGATGCAGGTCAAGAAGTATGGGATGCGAAATCATGTCTCAAGTGAATGAAGTATTCAGAAAAGAGAAGTGGATCTTGCAGTACAGGAGAATGAACCCAGGAGCACTTTACCTCTGAGCTGTATCTCTAGCCCTTTTTATTTTGAAACAGGGTCTTTCTAAATCACCCAGGCTAGCCTGGGGTTTCTAATCCTCCTCCCTTACACTCCTGAGTTGCTGGGATTATAGGCATGTGATATTCTGCCTGGCTGACAACTGGATCTTGAATAGTGGTGATAGGTAATTCTTTCTGCGCTATCTCTTTTAGACTTCAGAAGATATTTGGAAGCAGTTTGATTTAGCAGTTAAAGGCCCAAGTCCCGGCTTTGAGCTCTGGCTTCAATATTTTACTTGCTATCTGACTCAGCAAATTACTTTACTTCTCTAGATTTCCCTTTCTTCTATAAAATAGAGCAGTTGTGCTGGGTGCATTGTCCAGTGATTTGGGAGGCTGCTGCAAGAGAATCCCTAGACACCAGCCTTGGCAATTTACCAAGACCCTGTCTCAAAACAAAAAATAAAAAGGGCTGGGATGTAGCTTAGTGGTAAAGTGCCCCTGGGTTTAATCCACAGTACTGCAAAAGAAAAGGCAGGGAAAAAGAGCATTTGTAAGCCCAACTACTTCTTAGGGTCATGACTGGATCAGCATTCATGTTTATAATGTTCTAGGGCCTAGCATGTAGTAAATGTTCAGTTAAGTGTTAGTTATAATTGTTTTCTTACTCATAGATTAATTTTTATTACATGCTCATTTTTTTCTTCTCAGTACAAGTTCAGGGATCTAACTGTGGAAGAACTAAAGAATGTAAATATGTTTTTCCCACATTTCAAATATTCCATGGATACCTACGGTAAGAATAATATTCTCTAATTTTTGCTGCCTTCTTTGAACTATTAATTTCTTGATCCTAAAGAACAGTAAAAATCATAATTTTTAATTTCTTTTTCTGATTTTTAACCACTTGTGATTTGAGGTCTGAGGAAATTTAAGTTAATTCAATACAGTGTGTTTTGTATTAGTTTTCCGCCCCCCAAAATTGGGGATTGGATCCAGGAGCACTTTACCACTGAGCCATATCCCCAGCCCTTTGAGATAGGGTCTTGTTAAGCTGTCAAGGTTGGCCTCCAATTTGGGATCCTTCTGCCAAAACCAGCCTCTGGATTGCTGGGATTACAGAATTGCCCATAGGCCTAGCTTTGAGGTTTTTTTGGGGGTGAGGTGGAGGTATGGTTGGTACTGTGGATTGAACCCAGGGGTACTTTACCATTGAGCTACATCCCCAACCCTTTTTATTTTTCAGTTTGAGAAGAGATCTCCCTAAGTTGCTTAGAGTCTTGCTAAAATAAATTACTTAGGGCCTCGATAAGTTGCTGAGGCTGGCCATGAACTTTTGATTCTTCTACCTCAGCCTCCCAAGTCACTGGGATTACAGCTGTGCACTACTGCACCTGTGTGTTATATTTTTATTGCTACTATAACAAATTAAAACTTACTGGTTTTAAAAAAACACGAGTTTACTGTATTACGGTTTGTAGGCTAGAAGTCCATTAAATTTTTCTGTAGCTTATAAGTTTAACTGAGTTCCAATAAATGAGTCATCAGGTCTTTTTCCTTCGTGAACAATGTGGGTGGGGGCTACTTTTTCTTTCCCTTTTTCAGTTTCTAGAGGTAACCCAAATTCCCTGACTCTTGGTCTCCTTTCTCCATCTTCAAAGCCAGCAATGTTGCAAAGCCAGCATTCTTCCGTAGGCAAATCTCCCTCTAACTGCAGCTGGTAGAGGTTCTCTGTTTTTAAGGACCAATGTGATTAGATTAGACCTACCCCAATACAGGATAATTGAACCTTCTCAGAGTCCCTATTTTAATCACATTTAATAATTTGAAGAATGAATATTCACACATTTCCTCTAATGCATTTCTAGATTATTCTGTGTCCTTGAGTAATAATCCCTGTTCCATTCCTCTTTCCATTTTAGTTTTTCATGGATTGATGCCTTCACCCATTGTTACTTTCACTTATATAGTTCAGGGTTACATTTGTACTTACATACTGTCTTGTCCTTGAGTTTTCTGACAGCCTGTGTTATAGTCTAAATGTTTGTAACCCCCCCCCCATTCATATGTTAAGTTCTGATCACCAGGTGATAGCATTAGGAGGTGGGGCCTTTGGTAGGCTCTTTGCAAAAGTCCTCATAAATAGGATTAGTGCCCTTATTAAAAGCAGCCTGAGAAAGACTCTTGCCCTTCCACTATATATGGGCACAGTAAAAAGACTGCTGTCTGTGAATCAAGAAGCAGGCTTTCCCCAGAAACCAAATCTGCCAGCACCTTGATTTTGGATTTCCCAACCTCTAGAATTGTGAGAAATAAATTTTGTTCTTTAGAAGCTTCCCAGTTTATAGTAGTTTGGTATAGCAGTCAAAACAGACTAAGACAGCCTGGTTTTCTCTTTCCCTTTTCTTTTCTTTTTTTATTAGTTGCTCAAAACATTACAATGATCTTGACATATCATACATTTGATTCAAGTGGAGTATGAATTCTTTTTTTTCCACGTGTACAGATTGCAGTATCACATTGGTTTTATAGCCACGTTTATACATACAGCCATATTAGTGTCTATTGTATTCTGCTACTCTTCCTATTCCCCTCTTTCCCTTTTCTTATAAGTCATCAAAATCTATCTAGAATTTTTTCTTCCTCTATGGAAATAGTACAGTTACTATTGAGATGTTAAAAGGATTGCTTTCCAGTACAGTTTGATTGTTTGAAACCCTAGAGAGTGGTCTTGGTATTTAGTCCTGAGATTAGGACATTGATTCTTCACATGTGTCCCAGTTATTGATGGGAAAGTTGAAATTTCAGGGACGTAAATATTGAAAAAAGGTTGAGAATAATGGATTTAAAGAAACTAAGAGAGATAATTATTGATTTTTCTAAAAGGTTGCTTTGAAAAGTAAAGCTAACATTGATTATAAAAGTGATTATAACTGATTTGTTACATGTGACAATTATTTAATTTATTACTTTAAATAATAAAATTCAATGTTTGTTTTTGGCACTGGGGATTAAACCCAGGGACATTTTACCACTGAGCTACATCCCCAGTCCTTTTTTATTTTGAGACAGGCTTTCACTAAGTTGTTTAGGGGCTAAGTTGCTGAGGCTGCCTTGAAGTTGCAATCTTCCTCAGCCCCCTGAGTTGTGGGACTACAGGTATGCACCACTGTGCCCATCCATCCCTACATTTTATAATACTTTGATTCTTATTAAGGGTTTTCACATCTTACATGAGCCTTATGACAGCTTCATGATGCAGATATCTTTATTTTATAGATGATAAAACTGAAGATCAGAGAGATTAAAGTAGCTAAAAGTCACACAGGCCTCTAAGAGGGGAGGTGGGTCTAAAACTTGGGATTTAGTATCAAAGTTCTGTGTTTTTGTTTTTTGTTTTTTTTTTTCAGTTGTCCTCACTGCTAAGTAAACAATATCTAGTGATCATCCCCTTGTTGTCATATGTGTACTGATCCTGGTATTTAGAGATTGTGGATGTGTGTGGATGTGCATTTATATACTTTAATATAATTCTTTCTACTTCTGATTTTACATTTTGGCACTTTTTTTCTTCCAGTTTTTAAAGATAGTTCCCAGAAAGACCTACTGAATTTTACTGGTACTATTCCTGTGATGTATCAGGGTAAGTATGGGAAGAAAGAAAATGTGGGAGTTTTCTAAAAGAGCAGTTCATTTAAACTTACACAAACTTACATTTGTTCATGCCATAACATTCTCAAAGTATTTCCACATAAGAGATCTATTTAGAACCTTACTGGATCTGACAGGATTCTGTCCTAGTCAAGGAAGACCTAGATTAAACTTTTTTTTTTTAATATTTATTTTTTAGTTTTAGGTAGATACAATATCTTTATTTTATTTTTATGTGGTGCTGAGGATCAAACCCAGTGCCTCACATGTGTTAGGTGAGCACTCTACCACTTGAGTCACAACCCCAGTGCCATAAATTAAACTTTAATTCAACAATTACTTATTGTCAACTATGTGCCCATGACTCTAGTAGGTTCTGGGTTATAGAACAGAGCAAGACAGCTAGGGGTGATGGTACATACCTGTAATGCCAGCAACTGGGGAAACTGAGGCAGGAGGATTGCAGGTTTGAGGCTAGCCTCAGCAATTTAGCAAGATCCTGTCTCAAAAAAAAAAAAAAAATCTTAAAAGAGGCTAGGGACATGAAAATCCTGTGGTACAGAGTTCCTGAGTTCAATATCTCAGTATGAAAAAAAAAAAAAGAAGAAGAAGAAGAAAAAAAAAAACAATGAAAAGAGAATTTAGACAGACATGGATCTGCCCTTGGGATGAGTGATTTCTGTTTTCCATAAGAAAATGTAGGAATCTCACCTTCTTCTCCTTATAACTCTGTGTTGTTTTTTGTTTGTTTGTTTAGTTTTTTCCTCTCTTCCTCTTCCTTTTATATGATGTAGCATTATTCCCATTCCATAGGTGAAACTGAATCTTAGTCTGCTCAAGTGATTTACCTAAAACCACCTGGTACTGTTATACAGACTCCAATGTTTTTGAAACACAGGGGTAAACATTTTAGGATGACCTGACAGGCTAAAATAGTTAAGTATTTGCCCAAAAAGAAAAGGAAAAAAAAAATCACTAACTTCTATAGTTAACTGTTGTTTGTCTAGACCTACTCTGTTCAAAATGGCTAGCCTTTTAGTATCATTGGAGATTGCTTATATATGTGCTTTGAATAACAGCAATGAAGCTTTAGTTCCAAAATATTTCTCTGAAGTGGCACCCAAAATTCCATCATTAAAAAATTAATAATTTTGAAATGCAAATCATCACAATAAGAAAAATATCCCAAAGTACTAATGTACAGTGCTGTGGTTATTAGAAATTCAGTAAATACTTGTGGAATGATTGAGTTAGTTTACTTGATTACTGACTAAAGGGTTTAGGAATAAATGAGCTTAGTAGCATTTGAAAGAGGAGGTGCACTGAACAGAGAAGGAAATGGAAACCAAATAAGATCAGAACAGTGAAGTTTACTGTCTCTGGAAAGGGTTCAGCGTTGTAAGATGGGAATATATTTCCCAAAAGACAATTCTGGGAGACTTCTTTCAAGGTTGGTACTTGTAGCTCCTAGACGATCATAATTCCTTAATTACCCTCTTCCTCTATGATGACCAAGAGGTACATTCATATTTTGTTCTTCCTCTGTGTATGTTTCACCATTGACATTTCCTTTGGCACTGGGTAGGCATTCAGGAAATGGATAGGAATTCAGTTTGTTTTAATGCATAGCTGGTAATAAGTAAAAGTAGCCATTCTTGTCCTGAGCAGCATGTTCAAGTACAGTGAAAGATATGTGCAATAGAACTATGAAAACAGGAATAAATTTTTTAAAAATAATAAAATCAATAAAAAAAAGAATACAGGAATAAATATTGAGATATAATAATGTTCTACGCTGGCTAAGGTAATTTATTAGATTTCTAGTCTAAGTTTAGTTTTCACTTACACTGAGTTTAGCTTTGAGCTTCCTGGCAACTAAGGCAGTAAGGGTTATTTGGCTCTTGGTAGACATGTTCTATGTTGGAAGAGCATATGTTCAAGTATCTATCTCACCCTTTTGAGTGGCGGAGTCAGGGGATGAAGGAAGAGAGATTGAACCCAGGGGCACTCAACCACTGAGCCACATCCCCAGTTTTTTTGTATTTTATTTAGAGACAAGAGTCCACTGAGTTGCTTAGGGCCTTGCTAAATTGCTGAAGCTGGCTTTGATCCTCCTGCCCTTAGCCTCCCAAGTTGCTGGGATTACAGGCATGAACCACTGTACCCAGCTTCCCCCTTGTATTAAATAGTTTATTTTCTTTAATCCAAGTGCTGGGAGTTGAACCCAGGGCCTCATTGATGCTAAGCAAGCTCTGTACTATTGAGCTATGCTCCATGACCAATTAAGTAGATTTTTTAAAAAGAAAATCTCATTGTAGATATCATTTACAGACCTTTCTCCTTCTGTAAAGAATACTGCAAAAGGGGTGTTTTTTATTTGTTTGGTTTTGGGGTTTTTGTTTTGTTTTTGTTTTTTTAGTTTTCCAACAAATGCATAGGCCATTTGCATCAAAATCTTTGGAGTATGTATGTGTGGACATGGATATTATTTAAACGCACACACTTTGGGGCCTGATCCCATGTCTAAATAAATCTCAATCTCTGGAGATAAGTCCCAAGAATATGCATATTTTCCAAGTTCTTCAGATAATTCTTATGTTCACTAAAATTTAAGAATATTGGGTAAGGTGACTCTTAAGATTATTTTCAGCTCTATGTTCTATATGTCTAACTCAGCGTATGGGATATTATATCTGCAATTTTTTAGCTCATTGAGGGCAAATATCAAACTCCAGTTAGTCATTCATTAATTTTTTTCATTTGTTCATTCTGATTCATAAGAAACATTTATTAAGCAGGTAGTATGTTATGTACTGTATTTGGTGCTGGGGTTATAGAAATGAATGAAACATGAATTCTTTCTAGAAGTTTACAATGTAATAAATACAGCCTGGTAAGTGAATAATCTCAGTATAGAATAAATACAAAGAGAGATATCCAATACCTTTCAAGGAAGGTACAATATCTGTTTTGGTTGGACAAAGAAAATTACATAGAAAAGATGTATCCCAAACTTCTTGTATAGTAGAACCTGTAAATATTGATTGAATTAAATTGGATGAGCTGGCCATTGTCTTAATTTCCTCATGTTATGTTAGTGCTTTAACAGGAACATATTTCCAACGTGCATGAAATGAGGGAAATAGATCTTGATTTATTTTAATCCTTTGTATGTAAACTTGACTTAACTACCTATTTCTTAAAAATGCCACCTTGTTGTATCATAAATATGATGTGTATGCTTCTTATTTTTGCTTATTTTATCTCCAATAGGTCATACATATAACATACCAATCCGTTTCTGGATTTTGGATTCTCACCCTTTTGCTCCCCCCATTTGCTTCTTGAAGCCAACTGCAAATATGGGAATTTCCATTGGAAAACATGTGGATGCACAAGGCAGAATATACTTGCCCTATCTCCAAAACTGGAGCCATGTAAGATCAATTTGGATTTTCTTCAAAGTTTTTATTTTTTCTGAATATTTGCCTTTGATTCTGATAGTCAAAATAAGCATACTACTGTATTTACTTCAATTACATTCTTCATATGATCTTTAAAGTAATTTAAAATTGAGTTCTCTAGGATCAGCCAAGTCCCAGAATACTGATGACAACAGCCTATACAAAGCTGCTGTCTCCAGGTCCAGGAGCCAGCTGTCATTTACCCCTTGTCTTTTTATAGCTGTTTGCTAATTGAGAAAGCACATGAAAAGCTTCTAGCAGGATGTTGGAGACTTATTTCCTACCCCCACCCTATTAAAGATTTTTATGTAATATATATATTTATTTGTGATTTTGCCTGTTTTTAACCTTTATGTATGTTTGAATCATACCATATGTAATCTTCTGTGACATGCTTTGTTTTAATTGAGCAATAATTTTTTTGTTGTTGTTTTGTTTTATAGTGCTGGGGACTGACTCCAGTACATGTTAGGCAAGTGCTGTACCACTGAATTACATCCATGACTTGAGTATGAGGTTTTAAACTTCATCTTTATTGATATATAATTGTAGCTTATTTATGTTTTGCAAGTCCTCACATTATGCAGTTTTGTATTCTCCATTTTTTCATTAATCATTATATTGAACATTTCTCCCATGTTTATCTTTTCAAAGTACATGGTTTTTAATGGTTCTTTGATGATCCAGCATGAAGATATTTACATAATACATTTCAAAATTGCCATATTACAAGAAATTTAATGATGAATATACTTAAATATAATATATATATTTAAAAATTTCCTAATGATAATCTCTAGGAGTAGAATTATTGGGTGAAAATTTTTAAATATTTTAAAGGATTTCTTCTATATTGCCAAATTGGCCTTCAAAAATGTAAACAAAATGTTGGTTTTCTGCTATCAATAGCAATGAGTGTAGAAGGGCACCAATTTCGTTTTATCCTTGCTCTAATAGGAGATATTATCATTAAAACAAAATAAACCTTTGCTTATATCTATATATTGGGTTAGGCAGATAGATGTACAGTATACTGTCACTTATAACTAAAAATTTTATGAAAGAATGATTTGTAATATATTTATATGTACCCAGAAAGTTGTAGAATTTTAGGATCAGAGTTGAATGAGGTTATAGTAAAAAACGTCATTTGGGAGGCTGGGGTTGTAGCTCAGTGGTAGTGCTTATCTCACATGTGTGAGGCACTGGGTTCAATCCTCAGCACCACATAAAGATAAATAAATAAAATAAAGGTATTGTGTCCATCTACAACTAAAAAAATTTTTAGGGGCTGGGGATGTGGCTCAAGCGGTAGCACGCTTGCCTAGCATGCGTGCGGCCCGGGTTCGACCCTCAGCACCACATAGAAACAAAGATGTTATATCTGCTGAAAACTAACTAACTAAATAAATAAATATTAAAATTCTCTCTCTCTTTAAAAAAAAAAAAATTTTAAATGGCATTTGGTTTCTCACTTTTGTGTTATAGATAATTGTGAAAACGGGTAATTATGGACATATTTTACTTTATTTGTATATTTTTCTATATTTTGCACATATAAAACCTTTAAAAAAGAAGAAAAAATAGAAAAAGGAAGAACATACACCAAATTATCAGGAGCAGAGCTGACTTCTATATGAACTTAATTTGCTATTTGCATTACTTGATGATTATTAAGTAAGATTTCCAGTTAAATGTGATGAATGGATATAATAAAAATTAGATAATTTGTCTGGGGCTGGGGTTGTGGCTCAGTGGTAGAACACTTGCCTCACATGTGTGAGGAACTGGGTTCGATCCTCAGCACCACATAAAAATAAATAAACAAAATGAAGGTATTGTGACCATCTACAACAGACAATTAAAAAAAATGGTGCCTGGATCTTAATTTTTTGTTATCCTGTTACTTGAAAAATTGAAATATTTTTCATATTTATCAATAATGTATATTCCTTCCTTTTTGAATTGTTTATCTTCTCATCAGTAATTACCCCCTTTTTTTCTAACTTTGGTTTTTTTTTTTTTTTTTTGGTACCATAGTTTGAACTCAGGGGCACTTAATCACTGAGCCACATCCCTAACCTTTTTGGCAGGGGGGGTGGGGGGGTGGCGCGGACAGGGGGTAGTACCAGGGATGGAATTCAGGGGCACTCGACCACTGAGTCACATTCCTAGCCCTATTTTGTATTTTATTTACAGACAGGGTCTCACTGAGTTGCTTTGAACTTGCAGTATTACAGGTGTGTGTTTGTAAACACACACCTAGCAATACCCAGCCTTTTTTATTTTTGATTTTGAGACAGGATCTTACTAAGCTGCTTAGAGCCTCACTAAATAGATGAGGCTGGCCTTGAACTAGTGATCATCTTGTGTCAGTCTTCCAAATCATTGGGATTACAGTTGTGCTCCATCATATCCATATTGGCTTTTTTTTTTTTTTAAACACTGGCGATTGAATCCAGGGTGCCACTGAGCCACGTCCTCAGCCCTTTTTATTTTGGGACATAGTTTTCCCAAATTGCTAAGGCTGGCCTCAAATTTGTAATCTCCTACCTTATCCTTGTGAGACTCTGGGATTACAGGTATGCATTACCCGCCTTGAATTCCTTTTTTTTTTTAAACTGTCTTCAAACCATATTTGGACATCTGTACCCTATTGCAAGAATTTATGTATCCTGCTTCTTCTGATTTTCTTTGACATCTTTTCATAGTTTTGTCTGTTTGCTTAATAGTGCTCAGTAATAGTCCTATAAGTTAGTTGAGATTATGCTTGATTTCAGTTTAGGTGGAATTTATTTCATTTTATTATTTTGAGTCTCTTTATTATAAATTAAAACTTGTCTTTAAAATATATTACATTATTTAAATCGCCCTGCTTAAAAGGACTATAGTAACTTTGAGTTCTGTATGCATTTAGAATTTTAACTATGGAGTATACTTTTTGTAGAATTTTGGAGATAGAAGGAATCTAGAAGGATTGCAGACAGTTTCCCCAAAGAGATTCAGAGGACTACAGTAAGCCTACAGAATTTTATTTGAAGAGCACAGTGGTTTTCTTTTACTTTGTTTTTGTTCTACATATAAATTTGAATTTATATAGGCAGGCTGCTTCTAGTTTGCCATAATAACAATCTCTCCAGGTTTTCTTTTACTTGGCAGCTTCACACATTTAATGTTATCTGGTTGGTCCTTGAAGGTATTTGAATTTTTTACCCTAATGGGCTCTTCTTCATTTATAAACAGTGAAACTCAAGTCTCTGAGAAATTAAGCACTTTTTAAATGAGCATTCTACTAAATATTCCTAATAATAATAGTAAACATCTATTTTACTCTCTTAGGTTACAGTTTCTATGCATTAGCTAATTTATATCTCCTAATAGCCACTTGAATTTATTATTCATATTATCTTACTGATGATGCTGAAGCTCAGAACAGTTAAGTGAATGACACCAAGGCTATTTAACTAGTTAAACTCAAAGAAACATTATCAAATTAATTTTCTGATTTGATAAATGGCTTTGTAGAAGAATGTCTTTTTTCCTTTTAAGAAATACACTCTAAAGGTTTTAGGGATAAGGAGATATCACATCTGCAGTTTATTTTCATTTGGGCCAGAAAAAAGAGAAAGATATTAAGAAAATATATGTGATAAAATGTTAACATTTGAGTAACCTGGCAAAAGAGTGTATGTACTATTTTTTTCAACTTTTCTGTAAGCCTGAAATTATTTTGAAATAAACAGTTAAAAAAGATAGTTCCCAAACCTAGGTATTTTGCTGCTAGTATATTCATGCTATTTTCCTATGTTTTGAGAGTTGTCAATTTAGCTTTTTTTTTTTTTTTTTTTTTGCCTTTTATTTTATAAACACATGGAGTATTTTCCATGAGATCTCTGGGAGGATACTGCATGATAAGAGACTTTGCTTTTTTCAGTTAAAAGCATTAAAATAGTTAAATCATAACATAATTTGTACATAGTTTTGGAAAAATGAAAGCATGACAATACAGTTGATCTTTGAACAACATATGTTTGAACTATATGGGTTCACTCAGAGTTGTCTCTCTTTTTTTAACTTGCACCAATTTGAAAAAAACTTTCATATGAATCCTATAGACTGGAAATATTGAAAAGGTTAAGAAAAAGATGTGTCAATAATACATAAAATATACATAGGTAATAATCTGTTTTATTATTTATTAATGTTAAATTTACACCAATCTATTATAAAAGGTTAAAATTTATCAAGCTGGGTGTAGTGGTACATGTCTATAATCCCAACAACTCAGGAGGCTAAAGCAGGAGGTTTTCAAGTTCAAGCCCAGCCTGGGCAACTTAGTGGAGAACCAGCAACTTAGACCCTGACTCAAAATAAAAAAATAAAGGGGTGGATATGTAGCTCAGTGGTAAAGCACCCCTGGGTTCAATCCCCACCAAAACCAAAACAAAAAAAGTTAAAAATTTGTGAAAACTTACTTATGTGCACATACAGATCATACATGGTGCCATCCAGATCATACATGGTACCATTGTATGTAACAACAATAAACAGACATAAATATGTAGTTTTAAATCATAACTGTATGAAGTTACCTGTGGTACCTTATGTATTGCTGAATTATGGTAGCCTCCTCTTGGTGCTATTAAGGTACATTCATGTCACGGTTATCTGATTATCCACTTGAAGTGCTGAATTATGTTAAAAATTTTAGTTTGTCTCTCCAATAAATTGTACTTTAGTAAAAAGTGATCTCTCATGGATCTTGTGTAATTTTTCATTGTATATAATAACTGTAGCATGCAAAATAAACATTAATTGAGTTTGTTATTGGTAAGGCTTCCAGTGAACAGGAGGCTATTAGCAGTTAAGGATTTTTTTGTTTGGTGTTGGGAATTGAACTCAGGGCCTCATGAATGCTGGGCAAACTCTCTATCACTGAGCTACATCCCCAATCCTTTTTATTTTTTAAGATAGGATCTCCTAAATTGTCCAGTATGATCTTGAATTTCTAATCCTTCTCCCTCAGCCTCATGAGCAGCTGAGATTACATGCATGCACCACCATGCCTGGAAGTAGTTAAGTTTAGGGGGAGTCAAATTATACTCGAATTTTTAACTATTCATGGGTTGGGGTCCCTATTCCAGTGTTGCTGAAGGGTCAACTATTTACTTTGGCTAATTCTATGCAATGTTAGGTTGAAATGGTAGTATTACTTAGCAAATTTTTGAGTAACTTTTACCTTTGTGTGTATTCTACAGCCCAAGTCTGTCATTGTTGGATTAATTAAAGAAATGATTGCCAAGTTTCAAGAGGAACTTCCCCTGTATTCTCTATCGTCATCTGATGAAGCACGGCAGGTAGACATGCTAGCCTATATTGCAAAAATCACTGAAGGTTTGTATTTCTGTCAGATTGTCTTAAAAGTTATGAGTTTACAATTTCTTACTAATGACCTTTACTCTCTGCTATTTTAAATACATATGGACATTTATATGTTTATTTTTGTGTTCAATCAAAAATCCTATACATATATAATAAAGTTCCATACTGTTTCTTAAAATGTAAAAAAAAATTTACTCTTTTATGAACAGATAAAATAGTTGTTGTTTCATTCAAAAACACTTGATATATAATAATCATCCCAAACCTTTTTTGTTATGTGTTTATGTAGTTCTTGTTTCATTCAGAATACTAGATCAGAAAATCTGTAATTTGCCGCAGTCTGGCTGGGCACAATCAGGAGCCACTTGTCAAAAGAAACTAACTTTATTTTTAGAACCACACACGACAAACAAAATAGTCTCTCAGGAAAAACCCTCAGAGCCTCAACTGCCACCACCGGCTTTCCACAAGCCTCTCTCTCCCACACAAGCTTCTCTCCACCTCCCACAATCCTCCTGCTCTTGAGGCCGATTGGCTGGGTCACGTGGGCGGAGCCAAAAAAGTCCCCCAATGAGCAGCTCCGAGGTCTGAAAGGGCAGGGAAACAGTCCAATGAGCATCACCGCAGAGGAGCCAATCAGCTAGATGTTGCTGGGGCCGAGGAGCCAATCAGCTAGATGTTGCTGGGGCCGCTGTGAGCCAATCATCAGCCAGCAGCTGGAAGTTTGCTGGGGCCCCTTTGGCTGTGGCTCTCAACAGTAATTCTCAATGTTTCTTATTGAGAATAAAACCACATATTCATGATTGGAAAATTTCAGTAGGGTACTAAACCTTTGTATTTTTTTTTTTTAGTCTTATACAATATTTTTTAAAATATTTGGAAAGACACTTTCTTTTTAAAAGGATAGCCTCCATTTACTAGAATATTTAAAATAAGACTCATCTTTTTTATCAGTACAAGTATTACTAATTTAATGTAAATGTACAATTTACATTAGAAATGCATATACTTTAAATGTGTGATAAAATTTGACTGTTTGATTTACCTTTGTAGCTATCACCAAAAACAATATGTAAAATCAATTCTTACATTTTTAGTTAATAGCTCCTCTTCTACAAGAAACTCTGATTTTTATAAGTCTTCTTTCATGTATTCATTTTTTTCAACAAGTATTTGTAAAAAATTTTTTTAGTTGTAGATGTACACAATATCTTTATTTATTTATTTTTATGTAGTACTGAGGATTGAACCCAGTGCCTTATGCATGCAAGACAAGTGCGCTCCTGCTGAACTACAATCCCACCCCTCAACAAGTATTTTTAAGTGCTTATTGTGGATTAACACCATGTTTTCTAAGTAACTGAAGTTTGGCGTTTTTTTAATTTTGGGTTTTTTGTTTGTTTGTTTAGTAATGGGAATTGAATCAGAATCACTTTACCACTGAGCCACATCCCCAATCTTTTTAATTTTTGAGACAGGGTCTTGACAAGTTGCTTAAGGCCTCACTCAGTTGCTGAGGCTGGCTTTGAACTTGCAGTCCTCCTGCCTCAGCCTCCTGAGTGACTGAAGTTTTTTTTGTTGTTGTTGTTTTTATGTTATCTGTGTATGGAGGTGCACATTTGTAATCCCAGTGATTCAGGATTGCCCAAGGGATAGCGGGGGGAGTTGATGTGATTTTTTTTTTTTTTCATTCTCAGCATCATCCACTTTTCTTGATAGGTGTCTCAGACATAAATTCAGAGAGTTGGACAAATTATGAGATTAAACCAGTCAATAAAATTACCGTGGTTGGAAATGGAGAGTTGGGTATTGCCTGCATCTTAGCAATTTCAGCAAAGGTATGTAAGCACAGTGGTTATAAATACATATATCATAGTGCTACACTTTTAGGCAGTTTTATTAACATTCAAAAAATAATGGTTTGGCTTGGCACAGTTGTAATCAAGCAACTGGGGAGGCTGAGGCAGGAGGATCACAAGTTCAAGGCCAGCTCAGCAACTTTGTGAGGCCCTAAGCAACTTATTGAGATCCTGTCTCAAAATAAAAAATAAAAAGGTCTGGGGTGTAGCTCAGTGGTAAAATGCTCCTAGATTCAATCCTATACCACACAAATAAATAAATAAAAATTTAAAAAAGTAATGGCTTCGTTTTGTTATGTAGGAAAACCTCATTTTGCCTGAAAATATATTTTGTGACAAAAAAATAGCTGAAAGTTCTCATCAGTCATGTTGCCTCTTAATTAGTGTAAGTCATGGGTAGGCTTTGAAAAAGTAATTTGAATAATGGTGTCATCCTAATCTAAGGGAAACCTCAAAGTGACATTCCTCTGACTTAGACACAGATTATTTTGTGATTTTTGAGTCATGGTGTTTTAATTAAATTCTTATTTAATATTATATTTAATTTTAGCTATTTATAAAATTACCATTTTTAAAAAAGGACTGCCTTTTCTTATTTAATTGCTTTCTTTTGGGATCAGACTTTCTGAGTTAATGTTACATTAGTTTATGTTTTGTTTATATTCCTGTCAGTTCTTTTTTCTAAGTCTTTTCTAATTGTTTACATAAAGATCTAACTCCCAGTGAGGTAAAACAGCTATCATGGTGATAGCATATCTGTAGTCTAGAAAACAGCTGTCACTATATGTTTATTTGGTGACTGTTTTTCTTTTTCTATAAAGTTTTTCTATTAAAATTTGATTATTTTGATGTCTAAATTCCTCCTTTTCCACTTAAGACCCACATATATCTTGAAGGTAGGTTCTATTTCAGGAAATAATCAAGTTAGAAAAATTTTAAAGTTGACTGTTCAGAATAGCATATGCTGAATTTTGGCATATTATAGTTTCATTTTCCTTACCTGTTTTCCTCATCTGAGTACACTGTTAACTCTTAATTGGAATTTGAGTTGTTTTTACTTCTTTTGTTACTAAATAAAATTCTTTTACATTACTTTGTAAAATAAATAAAAAGAAAATAAATATATAAAAATACTTCTTACACTACTTTGTAAGTTGCTTATTTTCTGACTTTCTTTTGGGTATACATCATCTCAAAAATAATACTAGTGAGTCAGAGGGTATGGATTGTTTTATATTAGTAGACTGCTCCTCAGAAAGGCAGAACTAATTTATGCTGCTAAGAATAGTGCATATGTCACCTGCTTTTTGACATCCCTATGGTATTAAGTTTTATTAATTTGGGAGAGGGGGCAGAGCTGCTGGGGATCAAACCCAGGAGTACTTTGGCACTGAGCTACATCCCCAGCCCTTTTTATTTATTTATCTTGAATAAGGGTCCTGCTAAGTTGCTTAGGTCCTTACTAAGTTTCTGAGGATGGCCTTGAATTTGTGATCCTCCTGTTTCAGCATCCCAAGTGGCTGGGATTACAACAAGTGTAATTATTATTTTTTTTTTTTGGTAATAATTTGACTTTTTTTGTTAAATACAGGTAGGCACCTTTTTAAAGTCATGTTTCCTTAACTGTTAGAAGAGTCATTTGTCTGTTAACTGTCTAGGTAAAACATTATTTTTTCTTTTTTAAACATCAGCATTTTGATACAAGGTATAATATTTAAATAATATATCAATAATAGCAGTCCAATAGTGGCAGTAGTAGTAGTAGTGATAGTAACAGCAGTAACTAACCTTTACTAAATGCTTACTAGATGCCAGGCACTTGTCTAAACACTTGTCTTGACTCATTTTTACAGTGACCCTATTGTTTAGATGCTATTGTTTTCACCATTTTACAAATGAAGAAACCAAGGTTCGGGGAGGTTACCCACTTGCCCTAAGTCACACTATTAATAAATGGTGTCACCAGGATTTGAAAACAGGTTGTCTGTATGCCAGAACCTGTATTCTAGATCCTTACTGCTCAAAATATGGCTTTCAGACTAGCAATATTGGCATTTCCTTAAGATTTTGTTAGAAATCCATAATTCTACTTCTAATTCTGCATTTTAATAAAACCCCTGGTGATCCATATGCTTTACTGATTCATTATAAAGCCTGAGAAGCTCTTCTCTAAGCCACTATATTATACTGCTTTATGATAATTGCCCCCCCTTACTGGGATTGAACTCAGGGATGCTTTTCCACTGAGATCATCTCTAGCCCTTTTTCTTTAAAATTTTTTTTTAGTGTGAAACAGGGTCTCATTAAGTTGCTGAGGGTATCTCACTAAATTGCTGAGGCTGGCCTTGAACTTGTGATCCTCCTGTCCCAGCCTTCCAAATTTCTGGGATTACAAAGTACCTGGCAAGAGTCATGATGAATATTTTAGTTGTTTTTAGTCATTTGAATATTCTTATACATAATATATAATTTTTTACATATGCTAATAAACTTGTAGGATAATTCCTATAAATGAGATTGATGGATTAAAGGAACTGTTAAATTTAGATTTTAAAATATTTTAAATTTTTGAAAGAAGTTGTCAAATTATTCCCTATATCAGTTGTATTAGTTTATTCTCACACCTACACTGTATGAGAATACCTGTTTTCCCACAACCTCTATTGTTAAACTTTTGGGCCTTAGTGTGTCTGATAAATAAAAATGGAAATGCTAGTTTTCCTGGCATTTTCCTTGTGAGTGTGGTTAACAATAAAAAAATTAATAGCTACAATTTAGAGAGGACTACTATGTATGTCAGTCCTATTATCAATCATATAGTCAGTCATATAATCAATCTTATAACCACATGCAGTAAGACTTGAGTTCATTGACTGTCCTAGTGTTACAAAGCTCACCTATAAAATAGTAGAGTTGTTTTCTTAACCATTTTTTTGCCCGAAAGTCTGGTAGATCTCTGGATACTTTTGCCCATGAACTCTCAGGTTTTCCTACTACTTTGGAGAAAGCCCTTCCACAAATATTAACTAACTCTTGGAGTTTCCATGCTGTTATTTATAGTCAGCCCACCAGGCCATCCAGGGAACCGTTATTAGGCATGTAGAATATTCCATGAGCTCTCTGAGGAGAGTACCACATGATAGTACAATTTGACTTTAGATTTATGGCTATTTTTTTTTCTTTCCTTTTTGATTCTGGGAATTGAATGCAGGACACTCAACCACTTCCACGTCCCCATCCTTTTTCAAAAAATATTTTTGATTTAGAGACATAGTCTTGCTAAGTTGTTTAGGGCCTTGCTAAATTGCTCTGGCAGGCTTTGAACTTGTGATCCTCTTGCCTCAGCCTCCCAAGCTGATTATTTTTTTTTTTTTTAAGCAAAAGCTGGAATAATTTTGACTTTCATGCTAGGAATGAAGTGCTAAAATAGGCCCCCAAATCATTCTAAACGTTTCAGAATTGAAATTATGATACAGAATGAAAACAAACTCAGGAACAATATCAAACTTGCTGAGTGAACCAAGTAATCTTTATTATTCATCCCATAAGAAAACTTCTGCGATCTATATGGCATCTAAATTTACTCCTTTTAGATCCTAGTTTACAATAGTTAAGCCCAAGGGATCACGTTATTCAAGTTCATAATAACTTTATTGCATGTCACTTTTATTACAATTGTGTTACTTATCCATTTTTTTAGCCATATCCCCACCCCACCCCCTTTTTTTTTTAATGTTGAAAGTGCATCTCATTGAGTTGCTGAGGTTGTCTTCAAACTTGCGATCCTCCTGCCTTAGCCTTCCAAGCCATTGGGATTACAGGCATGTGCAACCACCCCTGGCTTTACTTACTCTTCTTCAGATGACACAAGCCCTCACTTCTTAATTAAATTGAATAATTGGTCCTGTCCAATGTAATATGTTTCCCTTTCTTACTATACCTTACAGGGCATTGCAGACAGGCTAGTCCTTTTAGATCTCTCAGAAGGAACAAAAGGTGGAACCATGGACCTTGACATATTCAACCTGCCTAATGTGGAAATCAGCAAAGGTATGGTTATTATGCCTAAAGATGTTTGCTTTACTTGCTCTTATATTTGAGTCTAAGAATTAGCACTGGGAATTTAACTTAAGGCCTCTCATATGCTAGGAAAGCAATGAGTTCTACCTCTAGTCTTTTCCATTTTTGAGACAGCATCTGCCTGAACTTGTGATCTTCTTGTCTTACCCTCCTGAGTAGCTGTGATTTCAGGTATGTGCCACCATACCTGGCTTAAGTTCTGGAATTTTAAAGCTGAAAAATAATTTCAAGATTAACTAGTACAAGCCTCTCATTTTTTTTTTCCTTTTTAACAGTGGGATTTGTTATAATATATACAAGCTCCTCATTTTGTCACAAGAAGTGTCTCTGAAAAAGGGTCCAAGAAGTTCATGGCGAAAGAGGGGAACTTGACTCAGGACCAGTGGGGTTTTGGGCATATGTGATGGAAAAGAATTAAAGCACATGCCACTCAGGCATAGAGAGAGGTTTATTTAGGAAAGATACATAATTAAGGGAAATCTCAAGAGAGAGACACTTATGTGGGTAAAGCAAGGCATATGCCCTCAAGGGAGAATGCAGGTCTTTTTAAGGATGAGAAATGCAGTTTTGGTGCTACTTTTTAAGGAAACTTGGCGAGGGGTGGGTATGGAAAAGTGTATAGGAATGATATCAATCCAGTGATCTCAAGACAGTTTCTAGTAGTCTGATATGTATCAGGATCCTTAGGCTGACATGGTCTTTATTATCTGATCAATAGTGCTAAATTATGGGTTCCTCAAGACATTATATTTCCTCCCCCTCCCCTTTGCCTTCCTCCTTATTCTCTCGTCTCTCTCCCCCACCCTCTCCCTCATCCCCCATTTTTACCTCTCTCCTTATTCTATTATTGAGGGTTTAATTACAGTGCACAAGTAAATTTACAGACTTCCCAGGAATTTAGGAGTAATAGGTGTGGAAGGAAGACTGGCTTGGGGAGTTATAGGCCTGGAAAAGTATGAAGAACTTTTGAAGTAAAATCTTATTTTCTGGTTCTTTCTTTATGACTTTTTGCCTATTCCTATTCCTTGTAGCCTACCTCAATTTTATGCACTGGGAAACAAAGATTCAAATAAGTTAAGTAACTTGTACAAAATCATACAGATCATAAATGATTATGTTAACAGAGTCAAATGAGCAAATAACATTCAGATTCATTCATATTGGCCATAAGAATTTGTTATTTGACTTATATTTCCACATGAATTTGTCTTTTGATTGCTTCCTTTCTCAGAACATATTGGTTTAAAACACTGATCTTAGTGTTAGACAGTGGTTTGCATCTTAGCTCTGCTATATTAGAGCTCTGATGTTTGTCAGATTATACAATCTCTCAAAAAAAATTCAGTTTTCTCATGTGTGAAGTAGGAGACTAGGGATATAGCTCAGTGGTAAAATGTTTACCTAGCATGCATAAGGCCCTGAGATCAATCTCTAGCCCTGAAAAAATAACTAAAAATTTTAACAGTTATTTTTTTTTTATCTAATTTTCCCCCTTTGGAGATGGGGGTTCTCACTGTATTATCCAGACTAATCTAGAACCCCTGGGATGAAGCATTGCCTCAGCCTCTTGAGTAGCTGGAAATACTTGACTTCTCATACTTTATTTATTTATATACCAGGGATTGAACCCAGGGGCACTTAAGCACTGAGTCACATCCCCAGCCCTTTTTTAAAATTTTAAGATAGGATCTCATTAAATTGCTTATAGCTTCACTAAGTTGCTGAGGCTTGCTTTGAACTTGCAATCCTGCCTCAGCCTCTTGAGTCACTGGGATTACCAGCATGTATCACTGTGCCTGGAAACTTTTCACATTTTAAATTTTAAAAAATTGAGTCTATTTTATAATGTCTATTATAAATTATAGGATACATTTGGATAGATAAATACTATATTTGGGAGTTTTTGAAAATTTTTTGAAAAAATATATAATATATAATAATATATAATATAATGTATAATAATATATATAATATATTTGAAAATATTTTCCTACCAGGGATGCATGATTTAGGAGGACACCTGTAGTCCCAGTTGCTCAGGAGGCCGAGGCAAGAGGACCATGAGTTCAGAGCTAGTCTCAGCAACTTAATCGAGGTCTTAAGCAGCTAAGCAAGAAGACCCTTTCTCTAAATAAAATATTTTAAAAGGGCTGGAAATGTACCTCAGTGGTTAAGCGCCCCTGGGTTCAATCCCTGGTACCAAGAAGAAAAAAAAGGTCATTGAAAGACACATTTTCTAAAATGTTTCTACCAGTTTATAGATCAGATCAGATGATACATAGTATGGCTGTTTGGCTTGCTTTTGCCTTTACTTGGGTCCCCTGTATTTCTTGACTATGTTTTCCAAATAATGTATAAAAACACATAGTCTCACAAGCCTGAATGTACTAAGAATAATGGTCAGAAAAACTGAAATCTCTGTTCTTATGAGTTCTAAAAATTGGGTGTTATAGTTTAGTAAACCTGTAGGAGACAATGAGTTCATTTTGCTTCTCTGGAAAAAGTACTGTAGCTGCTTTAATAATCCTTTTGCAGGCCTCTTGTGGAGGATCATTTGGGGAACAGGGTATTCTCTTGTGCCAATCATTTCCAGGGAGTGAAGTTCTTAAGAGACTTCTTAACTCGTCCAAATCATTTTAGGAGACTGTTTAGTACATGGTCCCTAGAGGTTATGAGGCCATTTAGGACTTCAGGAAATTATTTCTTTCTGTGTGTCTCATTAACCATCAATAACTATTCCCTCAGATAATAGAAAGCACAGAAACAATGGAATAGATAACGGATGGTGCATGCCACCAAGTGGGGACTCAGTAATTATCTATTATCTATTGAATGTTGAATGAATATATATCACCTTGGGGCATGTTTTCCTAATTGATTTTGGTTGTACATTTCTGATGACATAACTTAATTACTAATACATGAAGCAATTTTAATGTAATGGTAACTAACATCCCATAAATATATGGAGAAGTATATTAACAATGTGGGGAATTAAAGCTCAATTGGAAATTTTATTAACACCACACCATGACATTCATAGATGATTGCAAGTGACTGATTATCCACTAGTTGTACTTTGCCTCATTTAGTTTTTTCAAATAGCTACTGTAACATTTTGGAGAGATTATATATGATCATGTAATACAAATATGTAGACACATACTTACACAAATAGTTATGCTCATGTATGCATGAACCAAATCAGGAAATACACTTAGAAACTGGTAAGAGTAGTTGTTTTAGGAATTAGACTTCGGAATCTGGCTGCTCTGTTTGCACATAATTGTGTGTGTGTGTGTGTGTGTGTGTGTGTGTGTGTATTTATATATTTAAATCCTTTTTATTGTGCTAAAATATACATAACATAAAATTACTATTGTGACTTTTAACACTAATTCATAATGTGTATTCAGTAAATTCACAACATTGTGTAACTATCACCACTATTTAATTTCTAGAACATTTCATTACCCACAAAAGGAAATTCTATAGTATACAATAAGTAATTGCTTCTTATTTCCCCTCCTCTATCCCCTGTTAACTACTAATCTGCTTTCTGTCCCTATGAACTTACCTTTTCTGGATATTTTATATATACCTATCCCTTGGTATCCTAACCCTTCTACTATATTGTGCTATATATTGCTTAATAAGAAATAATATCTCATTCACTTTTGTGTTCTTAGAACTCAGTACTATCTGTGCTTTTTGTAGGGGGGGTTATGGAATTAATTTTATTATGATCCTTAACCTTGTAATTTATATCATAGGTTTATAAAACATGCTTAAGGTTCTTCTTAATGATCTTCTTCCCATTATTAAATCATCAACTTCTAAGAAAAGACTTGATGAGACAGATAAAAATCTTGGACTGCTTTCCAAGAGTAAAGAACTTGTTGTCTATGGAGCAGTTTACCAAAACCTGGCTGTGTATCCAGACTCATATGGAAGGTTGCATTCCTGGAAGCTCCCTTTATCTACTTAAATGAAATCCTCAGAAAATGAGATAATCTGCATTTTTATTAAGCTTTCCAGGTTCTTTAGAAACACCGAGTCGAGCATGTGAGGAGTGCTGCAGGGAACTGACAGAAATGGAAGACTACATGGTCAAAAGCAGCTTAAAGTTTAGATGAAAAGACACACACGCAAGAAATAAATAGTAATTCATAACAAGAGTAAAGAAGCAATATGTGATTAATTGCCGCAAGAACTGTGCAGACAGTAAAGACTCTTGGAGTTAAGTGGAAAGAATTACTTTAGCCTGAGTAAGACTGAGATATGTGCCAGGTTATGATAAGACTGAGATATGTGCCAGGTTAGACTGGGGAGATTTGGACAGAGAGGTAGAGGAAATTGTACCAACTGCTAAGCGACTAGATCTGAGAGTTGCAAAAATTAAACACAACTCAGTTCTCACAGAGTGATAGCAATGTTTGGTGTAATAGTCACATAAAAGCACATCAAACATGTGGTAAATACAGTGAGAAACATTCCAGATGGAAAGAATTTGAGCAAAAGCCAACATCAGGAAAATGAAAAAATGCTTTGAGGAATGACTATAAGATCAGTAGAGTTTGAGCCAAAAGGTTATATAAAGAATACTTAAATATACTGTCTTTTAAACTCAAGAAAAGATTAAAAGGCTTGGGATCTTAATCTATGGAGCAGGAGACCTTTCTTGTCCTTTTCAAATCCTGTAGACACCAACTACTTTTGTGTACTCGTATGTCAACCATGAGCGTGAGGGCATTTCTGTTATTTAAAGTAGAGGAATCAGCCAGGTGGGGTGGCACATGACTGTAATCCTAGTGACTTGGAGGCTGAGGCAAGAGGATTACAAATTTGAGGCCAGACAGCAATTTAGTGAGGCCCTAAGCAACTTAGGGAGACCATGTCTCAAAATAAAAAATAAAAAGGGCTGAGGATGTGGCTCAGTGGTAAGTACCCCTGGGTTCAAACCCTAGTACAAAATAAATAAAGGAAGCTAAAGGAGGAAAAGAAATATAATTCTGGCAAAATAGTTTAGGGGCTAGATTATAAAGTTGTAAATTGAACTGCTCACTGGTTTTTAATATGGAGAAAGCTACAATGTACCAGTTTCCTCATCTTTTATGAGAATGTAGGACTATTTTTAAATATAGTCTGTTTATTGGCATCTGAAGCCAGATTATCTGGGCTTGAATTCTGGCTCCTCTACTTACCAGTTTTATAACTTTAAGCAAATTACTTAACTTCTCTGGGCCTCAGATTACCCATCTATAAAATGAGGGTAATAATGCCCATTCTGTATTGTGGACTAGATTAAATAAGTAACTGTATGGAAAGTTGTTAGACCACTACCTGGCACATAGTTGATGGAATGAAAGGTATTCCTTCCAGTTCTTTAGGTTTTGTCTCATGACCAGGTATCCATTCTAAACCCTAGAACACAGGAATTACTTAAGAGGATTCATGAAGAATCACAGTTAAATTCAGACTTGGGATCTACCATCACCAGAACTATGTCAGAATCTGAGCTTAAACTGGGTAAAGTGTTTCCCAGTGGACACATTATACAAGAATTTCCTTCTGAAACTACTTTAGAAAGATGGCCTTAGAGAAAGATTCTTTTTCAAAACAAAAAATAAAAAGTTGCTAGGAATATAGCTCATTGACCTAGCACCGCTGGGTTCAATCCCTCATACCACAAAAGAAAGGAAAAAAAAAAAATAATATTAATTCTGGGAACTACTGTCCTCTGGATGCTAATATTCATTTACAAATGTTGATTAGACTCATGCCTTTTTTACTTTATTGTTTTTCTGTTGTTTCTGATAATAACAACTGGCCACTGTTTTGGCATGCACTCACTGTAAAGTACACAGTGAAGTAGAAAATATAGTTGTAAAATAGCATATTTGTGCTTGAGAATCAGAGGAAGGAAATCCATAGGCCAGCTTTTTCCCAAGTCATAACTGTTGCTTACCTGTAGGTCCCATTAAAAGTAGTTGTTACCCAAGAATAGCTGGATTTAAGTATAAAAAAAAGTTAAAAATGAGCCAAAGCCAGGTGCAGTGGTACACACCTGTAATCTCAGCTACTCTGGAGGTTAAGGCAGGAGGATCATAAGTTGGAGGCCTGCCTTAGCAATTATCAAGATCTTATTTCAGAATGAAAAATAAAGGGCTGATGACCTGGTTTAATCCCCAGTGATGGATGGATGGATGGATAGATAAAATAAAAACTTTTAAAAAGGGTTGGGGGATGTAATTCAGTGGTAAAGTACCTCTGGATTTAATTCATAGAACCGGGGAGGAAAAAAAAAAGAATGGAGATATTTTAATTTAGAGATTTTCAAACCAATTTTTTGGTTTTTAAAGTAGAATCCTTAATAAATAAAACAGATCAAAGCAGCACTGCTGTGCTTGGAGAAGCCAAAGTAAGTGGCCTAGAGTCCTCCCAGATGGCCTCTGAGTCATTTTCAAGAAATTTTAGGACCCCTAAACTCAGTTTAGAAGTCAGTTAACTGATTGTGATTTCATTTTGTCTATAGCATATTATTCATTTTTCCTTAAAATTTAAAAATATAAAACTCAATTTCTGTGAATGTTCTTGGTCCTATAATTTTGTTTAAAGATAAACAAAATTGCTATCCCCCCCTCCTTCCTACTTGGGATATACTCTAGTTCTTAACCTTCAGCATTTTGTATACTTCCTATAGAAGTAGGATTGGTCTGGAGGCAGATCAATGCCTAAAAGTTCTGAATTTGTAGAAAAGAAAAAAAATTTTTTTTATTATGGACTAGAACTCGTTTAAAGCCTATATCTTGAACTCAGACTGTTTCTTTTTATTCATTAGATTTGTCTGCATCTGCTCATTCCAAGGTGGTGATCTTCACAGTCAACTCTTTGGGTAGTTCTGAGTCTTATGTTGATGTTGTGCAGAGCAATGTGGACATGTTCAGAGCCCTTGTCCCAGCTCTGGGACATTACAGTCAACATGGTGTTCTGCTCGTTGCATCTCAACCAGGTAAAAAGCTTTATTTTAAATTAATTTGATGGTTTAATATATCAGTAGAATTCCCATTACTGATAAAAGCCATAAAACTTTAGATTATAAAGGGAAGGACAGAATATTCAGTAAATGGCTCTTTTAGTTAACAATACAGTATTTCTACATACTATCAGTTGTTTGTTATGATTATCATTAATCAAAAGATTACAACTTAACAATGTTTTATGAAATATAGTACTGGGTTCCTGTTGTTAGTCATATCTTCCTTAGTGAGAAAATGGTTAACCTGCTGCCTTTGCCCCAAGAAAAATGCAGTGACTTATGTGAAACACTGTAACTCTGAAGTATTATAAAATGTTAGTAACATCTCAGAGTGCATTTTTCACTTTTTATATTTTATAAATTGTTTTGAAAGTGTTTTACTTGAAAAAGAAATATTTTCAAGGCGTTAGGTGTTATTGAACTCAAATTGGTGAACAGACTTTAAAATGTTCCCAGTACAGGGTTATGGTATGTATTTCACTTGTTTTTCTAAAGCAGTTGGTGGAGGGACATTGGTGTCTTTGATTTCTGACATCCTTTTGGCATGTTCAAAAAAAAGAGTTGTGTTTTTGTTTAGAATACTATACTGAATAGTAGTAGTTTTTTAATTGATATTTTCATTTAAAAATAGAAACTGAGCTTAAAATAGATACAGAAAAATTTTATTAGTTAAATGAAATGATTACTTTCTATATTCAGTTTTCTTTTCTTTTTTTTTTGCCTAAATATTCTAGGAAATTATATGTTCCATCCTAACAATTTAATATGTAAGAACAAAGTTGTGTAAAGTCTTTTTGAAACCTGGTTAGTGTACTTAGAAAATATATATTTATGCCTCAATGCATTTAGGATCTCAGAAGAATATATAGAAGCTCTAATATACCTTGATTATTATAATAATAAATATTTTATTTGTGAACTAGACTCAAAATGCATATTTTTAAATCTTTATATTTTTCACCTTGTATGTGACATTTAGTGGAAATCATGACCTATGTGACATGGAAACTGAGTACATTTCCTGCATATCGAGTGATTGGAATTGGATGTAATCTTGATTCACAGAGATTACACTATATTATTACAAATACCTTGAAAGCACAGACTTCAGGCAAAGAAGTTTGGGTTATTGGTGAGCAGGGAGAAGACAAAGGTAAGAAATACATTTTTATTAGTTACATTGATAAATCACCAGTGGTCATGACAATTGGATATATCTGGGGACTTTAGAATTGTGGAGCTTTTTTGGCTTTTGTTTCACATTTGAGTGCCTTCTGTATTTTGGGCCCAGTATTATAAATAGACTCTTCATGTGTATCATTGTCCTTCTAATTACTTTTCCTTAAGTGTAAGATTAGGCAAGATCTGTTAGTAAGGTTTTATAATTTCTTTTATTGCATTTCAGAGTCCCAGGACAAATTTAAAAGTTTAATTTTCCAGAAAAAGACATTTAAATATATTTAAAGCATTTACAAAACCCTTCTTCATCACTCATCCCAACCTCCAATCTTACTTCTGTTTCCTAAATTTAAATCTTCTCCCTATAGGCAAAGGCACATAAAGTATGGCATGTTCATGGGATTAAAAAAAAAAAAATCTGGACTATTTGTTGCAAAGGGTTTTAACCAGGTCAAGCTGGTTGAAATCACATTTTGGAGATCTCTGAATACCTGATCAACAAATTGGAAGGTGAATCTCTGGCAAAGGGAAACCATGAGAATGAAATGTTGAAATGGTACTCTGTTCAGCAGAGGTGTTGTAGGTAGAGCAAGGCATAGAAAATAACCTTTCTTCCTGTGGGGAGGCAATCATTTAACTGAAGAACTGGAGAAAAACCATGTATGTTAAAAGTTAGATATTAAACCATGGTGCCATAAAGCAAATGGTCTTCTCTAAACTATTTTCTTGGAATATAAACTCTGTATCTGCTTTGATGCCATTAAAACAAATAAAATTACTAACAGTGGTGATAGCTAGGTTAGAGGTAACTTTTAAACATTTATACTTTTCTTTATTTTCCAATTTAATCATTATAGATATAAAGGATTTATGTAATTTTAAAGAAAAATTTAAAAATAAAATACAGCAGTATCTTAAATCTGTATAAATCTGTACTAGCTACCTATAAAGTTGAGTGTTATAATGAATCAGGCTATAGAATAAACCTTAAAAAAAATTCTGACAGTGTGATTGAACAGAAATGGTTTTTAGAGCTGGGGATGTAGCTCAGTGGTAGAATGCATGCATGGGGCTCCAGGTTCCATTCCTAATACCACACACAATAAATAAATAAATAAATGGGAAGAAAAGAAAAAAAGAAAGGGAAAAAAAGGAGAAAGATGAAGGGAAGGATGGATTAATTTTCAGGCTCCACAGTTGCTTCCTGATACAAAATACTAAACAATAGATTCCTCAAAAAGGGTAGCAAACAAGAACTTGGAGTAGATGTATTGAGTAATGAATGTCTGGGGATTCAAACAAACCCAAGACCCTGAATTTTACTCATTAACATTGACATTCTGGTCCATGTTGATCTCTTGTTTGCTGATCAATCTGTACTCAGTTAAGACATTACCAGTACCACTGAAGCTATCTACCTAAGTACTTTTCCCTATTCTACTTCCTTGCTTGCCATCTAGTGGTAACATGAGACCACTATTTTGGGTTTTGTCTTTTGCTTTTTATGGTACTAGGAATAGAACCCAACACCTCACACCATTGAGGTACACCCCTAACCCTTGGGTTACTTTTAATCCTGTCTTCTCTCTTGCTTCAAAGACATTTATTCTGTAGATCAGTATACTTACTGGCCTTAATGTGAGCAATCCACAAGATACTTCTGGAAAAATATACCCTGACTCTCTAAACAGCTGTAGAAATTCAGTCCCAAAATAGAAGGTTTCCAAAGGTGGAAGGAATTAGTCTCAGTGCAGTTCCCAGCAGAACAAATGGCAAGTGCTTGCAACATTTAGAAGCCTATTATATGCAGCCTTCTGAGGAAACAGTGCTTTCTACTCCTACAGTAAAACAGCAATTCTAGTGCTGATATTGATAAGAAAGAAGAGGTAAGGAGGCTACAAGTAAACTTTAGAGATCATATTTCTTGGGGATTGTAGTTCAAAATCTTTTCTCATCCTTTGTAATTAGTACAGCAAATGCAGTACAATCAATAGAAAAATAGCTATTGCTAGAGAAGGAAAAAACTTGTATTAGAAAGACTAATACAGGTACTCTTCCCTAAAAAAGATTATTTGTACACTTAACTCCTTAGACAAGCATTGGCAAAATATAACTAATTCTTCATTTAATTTTTAGTGCCCATTTGGAGTGACCAAGAAATGAGTCATAGCTCTCAGGTGCAGCTGTCCAACAGGTAACACACTGTAAATCTGTACCTGACCAACTAAAAATTATGTACTTCATAGCTAATATAATAGCTATTTACATAGCATGTTCTTATCAAGCTTCTGTAAACAAAGCTAGCTAGTATGGACAAATCCAAAAGCATAAGGGAGCAGAACCCTGGTGTGGTGGCACACACCTATAATCCCAGCAATTTAGGAGATTGAAGCAGGAGGATTGCAAATTTAAGGCCAGCCTCAGCAACTTAGCGAGATCTTGTCTCAAAATAAAAAATAAAAAGGGGTGCTGGAGTTGTGGCTCAGCGGTAGAGCACACGCTCAGCACATGTGAGACCCTGGGTTCCATCCTCAGCACCACATAAAGATAAATAAATAAAATAAAGGTATTGTGTCCAACTACAACTAAAAAAAAAAAAAAAGGGTTGGGGATGTGGCTCAGTAATTAAACATCTCTGGGTTCAATCCTGGTCATGCCCCTCCCCCCAAAAGAAACTATAATGGAGCAGTATTTTATTTTATTTTGCTTTTTAATTGTTTAAAAATATTTATTTTATAGTTGGACACAATACCTTTATTTCACTCATTTATTTTTTACCTGGTGTTGAGGATCCAACTCAGGGTCCCACGCGTGTGAGACCAGCGCTCTACTGCTGAGCCACAACCCGAGCCCCGGAGCAATATTTTATAGTTTTTGGTTTCTTCTTGTTTTTTTTTTAATCTTTGGTCTCTTATCTGAAGAGTGTTTTGCAAACTTTGCAAACTCTTCCAGATAACACAGTTGACATTTAAAGGGTATAACATATTCCTTATTTGTAAACAGTGATTTATTTCTCTCATACCTAAACATATGAGGATATTAGCAATTTCCTTACAAGAGTTCATATAACTTAAAAATTTTTATGTATTAATCATACATAAATACACTTGAAAATCAGTCTAATATGAATAAATAATGTTCAGGAGGAAAAAATATAATGTATAGGTCCTTGTATCTTTCACGTTTGTTTGGAGACCTTTTGAGAGTCAAGCTCCATAAGTTGGACTTTATACACTATATATTTTCATACCATCACATAATAACAGTTTTTCCTGAAGTCCAAGTGGTGGTGACTTTTGTTTTTTGTTTTTCTAATTTTTAATATTTTTTTCAACGCCCCCCCCATTTCACAGACTCCCTTGGGACAAAGGGATTTTAGTGTTGTTGTTTTTTTTAATATATTTTTTAGTTATAGTTGGGCACAATACCTTTATTTTATTTGTTTATTTTTATGTGGTGCTGAGGATCGAACCCAGCGCCTCGCATGTGCTAGGTGAGTGCTCTACCACTGAGCCACAATTCCAGCCCTATTTGTTTTGTTTTTTTGTACTGTAGTAACAAAAGATTGAACCCAGAGGTGCTTTTGGACTGAGTACATTCCCAGCCCTTTTTTAAATTTTGAGACATAGCTCACTATGTTGCTGGCCTAAGACTTGTGATCTGCCTGTCTCAGCCTCCCAAGTTGCTGGGATTACAGACCTATACCACCACACTGAGCAGGATTTTAACTTTTAAACTTTCAGTTTATGTTTTTTAGAATATAACGACTGGAATTTCCTCCTTATTTAGAAGATTAGTGTGATATGATTCATTCTAATTTGATTATATAATCTTAATTTATATATTTTTATTTGTTTGGTGGTTCTGGGTATTAAACCCAGGGCCTCGAGCATGCTAAGCATTTATTTACACTACCACTAAGCAATATTCCCTGTAGTTTATCTTTTGTGGTATGGGGGATGGAATGCAGGGGTGCACTACTGTTGAGCTATCCAGCCCTTTATATTTATTTATTTTATTTTGAGACACAGTCTCACTATGTTGCTGATGCTGGCCTCAAAGTTATGATCACCCTGCCTCAGCCTCCCAAGTAGCTGATATTACAGATATGCACCACCATGCCCAGCTCCTCCCTATATCTTTTGAAAGGAATAAATTCAAATGATTATTTAATTTATATTGTTCTTTTAACAAAAATAACATATGCTTATTATAAAACTTCAAATACTACAGATATTTATAAAGTAGAATGTAAAAAGCTGGGGTAAATCTATCTTCCAGAGAAGTTTTAGTGTCCAGTTTTTTTTAATGCTTCTACAAATATATTATTATTATTTTTATAATAGACTTATGCTACTTACACTGTCTTGGAAATTTATTTTTAAAAATAAATTTGTGATATTTTTCCATATTATACATGACAATCTAGTATCTAATTTTTCAGGGGTCTTTTTGGTAGGATGTTATTTTTCCAGTACTGGGCACTGAACCTGGGGTGCTTTATCACTCAGCTACATTCCCAGCCCTTCTAAATTTTTTTTTTTTTTTACTTTTTGAGACAGGGTCTTGCTAAGTGGCTGAGGCTGGCCTCAAACTTGCAATTCTCCTGCCTCAGCTTCCCGAGTCAATGGAATTACAGGCGTATACCACTGGCTACCTATTCTTAAGAATAAAAGCTATATGATACTACATTTGGTAATAATTTATTTATTTATTTTTTAAATATTTATTTTTTAGTTTTAGGTGGACACGATATATTTTATTTTTATGTGGTGCTGAGGATCAAACCCAGTGCCTCATGCATGCTAGGCAAGCACTCTACCACTGAGCCATAACCCCAGCCCGGTAATGATTTATTTAACGGTCCCCTTTTGATGAGTTGTTTCCAAATACAGAAAACATGTTTATGTGTATATCTTTACACATTTGAGTATATTACTATAGGATAAATTCCTAGAAGAATAATTTTTAGATCAGATGTTGCCAAATTTTTCTAAAATCTTAGATCACTTTATACTCTCAACAGTAGTTATAGGAATGCCTATGTATAGCTTCTTCAAATTTAGTTATCAGACTTTTAATCTTTGCCAGGGGTAATAGGCAAAACTGGTATTTATTGTTTTAATTCCTAATTAGTTAAATCATCAGGGTGGTGAGAATCTTTTAAAGCATCTCTCTGTGAACTATGAATCTGACATTTTAAGGAAAGCTTAAATAATCATTCAATTATCTGAAAGCCTTCCTAAAACCATTACTGTATAACTCTTATTTCTGTGCATAAAAACACCTAGTTAATGCCTTAAACAGAATGTAAAACTAAATGGTGAATATTTTTTGCATTTTCTAAGGTCTTTTTTTGTTTTGTTTTGTTTTTTGTAATCTAGAGCCATGGAACTATTAAAGGTAAAAGGTCAAAGATCCTGGTCTGTTGGACTATCTATAGCTGACCTGGTCGACAGTATTGTAAACAATAAAAAGAAAGTACATTCTGTATCAATTTTAGCAAAGGTAATGGTTATTCTCATTGTCTCATTTTAAACTTTCATATTAATAATATAAAACCAGCAAAACTGTTGTTCACACTCTAATGCAGGTGTCTTCAATGTCACCAGCTTTCAGTGTAAGATGTTGGAGGTGGCACTTCAGCCTAAGCCCTATGCTATTTAACTGTGAGAAGTCTGGATCTCTACCAGGTTGTCCTCTCACCCTCATGTAATTTTTGGGAATCTCCAAGCAGTGTTTATATATTCCATAAACAACTTCTGGTTGTGATTTATTACATCAGCCAGCCACATCACCTCAAACTGATGTGCCAACTTGTCTCAGCTAGTTATCAGTCTGTTTCTCCAATTGCCTGTCTTTTGCTGCTTTTACCCAGAGCATAAATTCCCTAGAGTATAGCTAAGATGAAACACAAATGCTTAATCAGACTTTCGTGAAGACTTAGAATACCAGGAGCGAAATACAATATGGAAAAGAAAACTTAAAAAAGGTTACTGTATTGTACCCAGATTCCATGGGATGTCCCTCTCCAAGGAATCTACTTTGTCCATCTTTTTCTTATGATATGACCTTTTTTTTTTTTTTTTGCAGTGATTCACTTCTATTATAATCCCTATATTTTTCATTTTAGGGATATTATGATATAAATAGTGAAGTGTTTCTAAGTTTACCTTGCATCCTTGGAACTAATGGAGTATCTGAAGTCATTAAAACCACAGTGAAGGAAGACACAGTGACTGAGAAACTCCAAAGCAGTGCATCCTCAATCCATGGTCTCCAACAACAGTTAAAACTTTGACTCTCAAACACAGTTACCTGAAAGAAAAGATCATTTAATTTTGCCAACATATATTAGATTTGAGTATGTCTGTGTCTTATTTGTCTTACCAACTGCTTGGTTAAGGTAGATGGTTTCTTGGTTAGGTTTGTCATTTGATCCTGAAGGAGTTAGATATGAAAGGAGAAAAAAATCTAATTTCATTCGGGATGCTTAACATATCTATACTGTTCTTCAAGCTACAACAAGGATAAACATGCATCTGCAGTGTGTAATATTTTAAATTGTGTACCCCAAACTCAAAGCACACTAATCACTTTGGAGATATACTGAAAGAAATGAATTTTATAAAGGTTACTTTTTGACATTTATAATAAATATGATAACCTAAAGATCCAGAATGGGCCTTATTTATAAAATCTGTGCTAGGTGCATATTCAAAAGATTCATAGTTTAATGTTGATGTTCTTTTGCAAAACACAGTTGGTAATAATGGTAAGACATTTTCTTTTCCTTTTCAAATTCATTAGCTACCAGAACTGGGAAAGAATTTTATATGCACTTTAAAATAGTAAAAGGTAAATGTAAAATTTTTAACATATAAAGAAAAAGTATATGTAATTTAATTTCCAGTAGGATTTCCTTTCTGAAATTGTCTACAACCTCTTCTTGGACTATATAAGATCCCCCACATGACATGTGATAGTAGTAAAAGCATGGAAGAAATGTATGTTTTGGTAGAAACCGATTATGAGTAAAACCTTTTCTTTTAAAGCCAAAATATGAAGACTTCATAAAAACCATTGGTCTTAAGGGATAGAGGCTGAGTGGACTGATGGTTCTGAGCAAATCCTTTAACCACTCCAGAAGAAACAATTCAGAGTACATATGCTTTAGAAATGAATCATTAACAATGTTTTTAAAAATTTTTTTTTAGTTGTAAATGGACACAATATTTATTTTTATGTGGGTGCTAAGGCTAGAACGTTCCTCACACCTGTGAGGCAGGTGCTCTACCACTGAGCTACAGCCCCAGCCCCTCATTAATAATGTTTTCATGTGTTAAATAGAGCATATTATTACTATTTTGATACACAACTAATAGTAACAGCTAACATCAACACTATATAACAGGAATTATAATTAGCACTTTACTATTTTATTGAATCCTCATAATAACCCACTAAGGTAGGGACTATTATCATCATCTTATAGAGGAGAAAGTTCAAATTTATAGTCTTTACTTTTTTAAGGTACTAATAGGGATAAAATGCTTAACAGCCAAAATAGTGATCACAAGACCCTAAAGTTGAGGTCCTAAATACTAGGAAAAATTACTTTCATTCTCTAAAAGTTTACTTTTAAAAAACATAAATTTTTAGAACGACTAATTCCCTAGCTTCCTAATCTGTCCTCAGCAAACAGCAGAGGCAGCTATGAACTAAGATAGGCTTTAGTCATCTAGTTATTTATTTGGAACTTATTATACTCCAGGCACTAACAGTGAACATGCCTGGACTACATACAAGCATTCCTGATCCTTATAATCTAGTTTGGGAAACAATAAATCAAATCCTACATATGTACAATTCCAATTGTAGTAAGTACCGTGAAGAAATCCAAAGTGTCTTGTAAACATAATAGGTACATACAAATCTGGGCAGAGAGATAGGAGCCAAATGGTTTATAAGGGTAGACACATTGTAGAGGGTAAATAGTCATTCTAATGCTCACTTAATAAAAGTGGTGAACTTCAGTAATTAAGGTAACATTCAGTATCCCATGTTTAAGAAAGTAAAAAAGTATTTAATATGCTTGGAAAGATTCCCACCAGATTAACTGGATAAAAATTGTGGACATTTGGAGTGGGGGTGTAGTTAGTGGTAGAGCATTTACCTAGCACACACAGACTCTGGGTACTATCCCAGCACTATAAAAACAATGACCAAAAAACATTTGGATATTTGAAGAGATAAGCATTAGATTTGATTTGATTATTTTGGTTTTACTCTAACAATGTATCCTTTTTTATGAAATAGTAAAACTGAAAGAAACATATTTTTAACTAGCCTTTTATAATAAGTGATAACTAATCAAAAATTTGGTAATTTCTAAAATCTTAATTTATAACTTTTTTTTTTCTTTCTCTAATATATTCTTGAACAACAATCTAACTGCAAAATATTACTGTCTCCTAGATAAATTGCCAAGAGTTCACTACATTAATTATAACAGGAACATGACAACACAACATTTAGAGTACCTACTGTTATTCCAAATATTGTGTTAGAATTTGCATATTCCAAGATGAACAATGGTCCTTACCCTCTAGAAGGCCACAATATAGAAGTAATTCTGCTTCAGACATTCCCTTGAATATTGAGTATTAGTAATTATGTTGTTAAGTTCCACATATATGTCAAGAAGCAACTACCACCAACTACCACCTCACTATGATTTGATGATAATTTAACATTCAGTGCTTCTGTTAACTTTCACTTTTTTGTTTTTCCATAATTATGCAGTGCCTCTTCTTGTTATGATTTTTAGTGGGGCTTGTATTAAAAATGCTTTTGTGATACTATAGTAGAAGATATATTTTTACTTTCCAATTTATATTGTTTTCCTTAAATATCAAGAATAATGAATAAAGTTTGATTTTTAAATTCACCATGTGATGCCTGATTTATTCAAGTTAAAGGAAGTTTATTCAGATTTGGAGATTTGTTTCATATAATTCACACAGCACCTAGTACATTTAATTACTTAAGTGACTCTTAAAATGAGATTGGATTTTATCAACTGTTTTCAAAATTATTTTAGCAAAACTTTTTGTTCTAATTGAAGTTACTTCTGAACAAGCTGTGACTTTGAGAACACTTTGAAAACCATATTTTTAAGCAACATAAAAGAGCAGGAGCAGTAGAACTGACCTTTTGGTTTGACTAGAGCTAACATATGGTTGTCCAGGAATAATATATATCTCTTAAATTGCCTTTATGTGTCTGTATTGACAACACTTTATAATATCTCCACATACTTTCAAAATAGGCCCTTCTGTGTCTGTGACTTTCTCTTAGATGCCAGCTTAGAAGGGAATCAATACCATAGTCTGTTCTCATCAGCACTATATTAAAATCATTCAAATGAATCATACTTCACATAATCAAACCTAAGTTTTACAATACTTTGACACTGTGCTTGTAAAACTGGTGATGATGTGGAATAATGACTAATATAATTCATCATAACGAGCCAAGCCTGGTGGCACATGTCTGTAATACTAGAACTCTGCGAGGCTGAGGCAGGAGGAAAGGAATTTCAAGGCAAGCCTAGGCAACTTAACAGGACCCTATATCAAAATAAAACAAGGCCTGGAGATGTAGCTCAGTGGTTAAAGTGCTTGCATAGCGTGCACAAACACCTGGGTTCAATCCCCAGTATTACAAAAAACACAAGTTACCATAACCCCAAGGGTGCTCTGCCACTAAGCTACATCCTCAGTCCCTTTATTTTACTTTAAGACAGGGTCTCTGCTAAATTGCTGAGGGTGGCCTTGAACTTCTGATCTTCCGAAAGGCTCACTACCTATTCTTGCACTATACAAGACCATGAAGATCTGAAAATATGCCTGCCCCAAGGACTTGTATTTGGTGGACAGGCTGGTAGTTGAACACAAAGCAAGGTAAAATGCAGCCTGTATTTTCAACTGCGTCTAGGCAGACAAGAAAAGTTCTAACTTAGGAAAGGTATCTTGGTGAAGAAATTATGTCTGGCTTCCTGAAAAACAAGGGCTTTCTACACTTCGCCCTTGCAAACGTAGTATGAAGGACTTTTAAGTTTTAAAAAAGACAAAAACACCTGATAACCAAAGAAACCTTGGACGTCTTCTAATGTAAGCCGCTCATCTTAGAGATGGAAGGGGAAAAAAAAAATAAAGGCGAAACTAAAAGTGTACTTGCCTACTATTCTCACAAGAGTAAGTCGGTAGCAGAACATTTCTGCCAGTACAGTACCCTCCCACTTGATGAATCAGTCGTTAGTGCTCACTGGAAGTCCATTATACTTCTTGCCCTTCCTGCACCTGCTTCCTAAGTCTTAAGGTGACTGAAATACCTGCCAGTCTTATCCAAGCCCAGAGCCTCGACACTCGGAGTACACCTGCCCTCATTTTTGGGACTCGGTCGGTCGAGTACCGCAACGCCAGAGGCGAGTTGATAGAAACCCACACTATGACTGAACTCCGCCGCTTAGCGTGTACAACACTGTCTGCAGGACCGCGGCCTCGGAAGTGACGTAGCGGAAGTGGAAGTGCTGTGGTGGTGCTGACTTCCTGTTGTTAGAGGCGGGGGGGGGGTGGGGGGCTGGCCGCTTGGAGTGCGATTGTGTGGGGCGGCCTGGGCGGCCCGGGAGCCGCTGACCCTCTGCCTGCGTGGACCGGAGTCGCTAGGCGTCCGTCATGGCGGTGTCGGAGAGTCAGCTCAAGAAAATGGTGTCCAAGGTGAGGCCGCGACGCTCTCTCAGCCCCGCGCGCGCCCACCACTCCCTTCCGCGCCTGGCCCGGACCGGACCAGCCAAGCCCAGCCCAGCTAGTCTCCCGAGCTGGCCGGAAGCCTCAGTGCGGTCCTCCGCTGCCTTCGCGGCCCCCACTCCCGAGGCGTCAAAGGCCTCGGAATCTGTTTATACCCGGGTAGGGAAAATGGGGGGCGGCGACCGTCAACAAAGGCCCAGAGGCCGTCTGCCACCTGCCGCCTGTCCTTCGCTCTTCGGGAGAGTTTGGAGCCGTCTGTCGGGCGGTATAATTTTCCTCTTAAAATGTATAAACAGAGCCGGTCGTGCTTAGTTTCTGATCTAAGGTCCCAGAAACCCGTCAGTCTGCCCTTCCCTCGCTGGGGAGACTGTGGCCTTTGCAGTTTTGTATCCCCCGCGTAACTCAACACCGGGCCGGCAAGAGAGTAGAATTGGCTCGGTTAAGTCAAAACGTCCAAAATACCAGTCCTTCGCTACCTCGGAAGCGTGAGTTTAAATTACAGTCCTCACAACTCAACTAGTATATTTTTTTTCATTTTTAAAACAATCAGGCATTTTGCATTTTAAAGTTGTGGTTTAATTTGGTAATCACTTCAAAATGTGGTACTTGACGCCGGAGTGGAACGGTTTGGTTTGGTTTTGCGGGGGGAGGGAGGTGTAATTTTAAATTAATTGGAATAACATGTGAAGTGGTCGAGAGTTGAGCCTTCCCCAGTTCAATGGCTTAGCTTTAGATAGTTTGGTCAAAGCAGAATTGGTTTCTACCAATTATCCTCGGTTTAAGCAGTTTTCAATTTATAATAAAGCGCACTATTATATATAACACTTTTGTTTTTCCCTGTTTAAAAAAAAAAAAAGTGCTTAACTGAAGACCAAATAACTTCTAAAGAGAAAGTTTCATGGAGGGGCTGAGGCGTGAGGATTGCAAGCTCAAAAGCCAGCCTCAGTAACTTAGTGAGATCCTGATTCAAAATAAAATATTCAGTCCCAGTACCAAAAAGAGAGAGAAAGTTTCAAAATAGAGAATGTCTCCTACACAAAAAGTACATTAAATAGTATTTTGGAAATTGATAGTATATTTTAGAGGAAAGTAAAGCAGGCTAGGCCCTTAGTATCCTAAGTAGCTTAGTGAAACCCTGACCCAAAATAAAAAACAAAAAGGACTGGGGATTGGTTACATGTTAAAATGACCCTAAATTCAATCCACAGTACCAAACAAAAAAAGAAAAAGAAAAAAAAAAGTTAACCAGGAACGAGAAATACTGTGCTAGTGGGTAGAAAATGGGGATAGGTTACAATTTTATATCAGAGTAAAGGAAGAGAGTAGGTTTAGACATTGAACTTCAGTGGTTGGGAGATTTTGGAGGCCCTAACAAGCTGTTATAGGGATTTGACATTTAGTTGGACAATGATGGCAGGTGTTTTAACAGTAGTGTTCAACAAAACTGTGTTGAAACTAGACTTCAGGGATACTAGTGGAGGCACAGTCATCTGTGAAGAGGCTTTTGAAATAATCTAGATGAGAAATGCTGGCAATATGACCAGGATTGTACCTGTGGAGGTAGTGAGAAGTGATCAAACTGTAGAGTATTTTGAAAGTAGTGTTAGCAGAATTTTCTGATAGATTTGCTGTGGGTGTGAAGGAAAGAGAGTCACCAAGGATAACTTCAAGTTTTGGGTCTGAACAGATAGAGGGGTATAGATGTAGGAAGAGTCACTTTGGGAGGGAAGATAAGGAGATAATTTTTGGTCAGGTTCAATTTGACTTTCATATAACTTTCATTGAATATTCAAATGCAGCTATCAAACCAGTAACTGGATATACAGTACTCCCTCTTTTATCTGCAGAGATCCCAAGACCCACAGTAGATTCCTGAAACTGGACAGTACTGAACACTGTATATATTATGTTTTTCTCCTATATATACATATCTATTATAAAGTTTCATTTATAAAAGACATAGTAAAGTTATCAATAACTATTAATAAAATAGAGCAGTCATGACATATACTCAATAAAATTGCTGGCTCATTGCTTGTGCACTTTGTGGCTGTTATTAAAATAAGAGTTACTTGAACAAGCACTGCGACAGTTGATCATGACTGAGATGCCACTGACACAGATAGCATAAACAGTTTGTATTTGCTGGGGAAAGGGATGATTCAATTCCTGGGTGGGACAGACTGGGACAGCATGAGATTTTGTTACAGAATTCACATAACTCAGAACTACATGCAGTCTGAAACTTACCAATTGCTTACCCTTGGAATTTTCCATTTGATATTTTCAGACCAAGTTTGACCATGGGTAACTGAAATTGAAAAGTTAACGACCCCTATACATTTTTGAAGTTCAAGGAAGAGGTTCAGACTGGAAATTTTTAATCTGCAGATTTTCAACATGTAAATATTATTTAAAAACAAGGGGAACACTACCACAGGAGTGAGTCTAGATAGAGAAGAGGACCAAGGACTCAGCCCTGCGGCTTAATAACATTAATTGATGAAGAAAGAGAAAGAACCAGCAAAAGAGACTAAGGAGGAATAGTCACAGAGAGGAGGAAATTAAGCATTGATTGGCATTCTGGAAATTATGTTTTAAGAGGAAGTAATCAGCGCTATAGTTGTATCTCAATGGTAGAACACACTTCCTAGCATGTGTGAGGCACTGGGTTTGATCCTCAGCACCACATAAAAGTAAATAAAATAGAGGTATTATGTCCATCTATAACTAAAAACCTCTAAAAAGTGGGGTGGAGGATCAGCTGGGTGTGGTGGCACATGCCTGTAATCCCTGTGGCATGGGATTCTAAGACAGGAGGATTGCAAGTTCAAGGCCAGCCTCAGCAACTTGGTGAGATCCTGTCTTAAAACAAAAAAAAATTTAAAAAGGGCTGCGGATGTAGCTCAGTAGTCAAGCACCTCTGAGTTCAATTCCCAGTACCCCTACCCCGCCACCAAAAGAAAATAAAAGAGGAAGAAGTTAACTTGGTCAGCTACCGACAGTAGGTTAAGTAAGATGAAGGTAGAATTGGCCTTTGCACACCCTATTGTAGGTATTGGTGACCTTGATGAGCAATTTTACAGTGAAGTGGTAGGTACAAAATATATATACACCCCTCTGCTTCTCAGGCCCCAAA